ACCTCGCTACACATCTGGCGGTAAAGGAGAAGACGTGCATAGGCAGAGGCGCTGATGTTGTCGAGTTCAGAAAAGGGGGTATAGTCCATTCTCTCTTCCAGGCTGTGTCTCGCAGCTGCTTTCGCTACGGATGGGAGGTCATGCCGGATCGCGATAGCGTATGTCTCGAGCGAATCAGTGACTGCATATGCCTCGAGTTTGCCCATTATGACATCCGTCACGACGTCTATGTCATACTTCCTGGCAGCGTCCAGGAGCGGCGCGATCTCGTGTAGGTCGATGTCCGGATCGCGGACAGGGTAACATATGCGCAGCAGCTTTTCGAGTGTGTTCTTGTCTTCTGTCATCGGGATGACGGGCAGGCCGTCCCTATATTCATCGCTAGCCGCCTGCAGTCGAGGCCGAGTAAACATGCTCTCGAAGAAGGTGGATGCCTCCGCGATGATCGCTTTCTTCACGCGGAAGTCCACGCCATCTGAGGAACGCAGGATAACGTCTGCAGTGGACTTGTTGAACGGTGCAGGGGCATCAACAGGTGCGGCTGCCGTTGCCAACTCGTCGTCGTGTTCGATGTGATCTATTGTCAATGCGATTGGCCCCTTCCAATGGTCGAATAGTACGTGGGCCACTTACACACTATACTCTCGCCACGAATTCCAAATGTTATGAGCATTGTGCCCGGAGCGATGAAGTGAGCAGTCCAGCGAAAAAATATCGTGTGGACGGCGAGTGGACGCGATGACGGCAATGACGTCAGACCCGAATGCAAAGATCTGCCAAGTGACTTTCAGGACCGGCCTCCCCATAGGGATTTTCGGGGGTCCTAGGATGGCGTCGCATGTGGCCACTCAAATTCAAAAAAATCAGTGAGCGCTTAGCGCGCTTAGCCGTAGCCGGCATCGCCAGGTGGCATGGCAGACCGACGGACATACATGGAGCATAAGGTAAAGTAACTTGAGCATTCAATATTCAGTAATTACCTGCGTGTTATACAACCTTACCACTCGACAAGCCGGCCTGAAGTATAGCCCATACATAGATCATACATGTCATAGCTTAGCCTTCACCGTGACCTTCGCTGCGCCCGTCTGGAGGACTTCAGCCGCCTCATTGACCATGTCCTCGATGATGACCTTCGCAGGGAGGACATCCTTGATGAGGCCGGCCACTCGGCCGGACAGGAACGTGATCGCCTTTGCGTGTTTTTCGGGGTGCTTGCGCATCTCCTCTTCGTGAGGGACGATTCCCTTGGACGTCAGCTCTTTGATCTCCTCCTGTCGGTTGTTATTCCTGATGGCGCATAGATCAACGGCTAACTTGTCCCGGCGAAATGAGATAAAACCTACCAGTCCTCGACATAAGGTATCTTGAGGACTCTCAGCGGCCGCCCGCTGTAGATCAATGTGCGCGTCGTATCGTCAATCCCAGCGCGCACGACCGCCTCCTTGTGCGCTTTCGGTGCGCCCGCCTCCACGCTCGCCACGAAGCGCGTGCCGACCCACACGCCCTGCGCGCCCCACATGAGGTTCGCCGCGAGTCCCCGGCCATCGTACACTGCGCCCGCGCCGATGACGTACACCGGCTTGCCCGTGAGCGGCGACGTGTGCCCTTTGACCGCGTCCACACATGCTGGGATGAGGATCGAACATGGGACGTCACCCGTGTGTCCGCCGCCCTCACCACCCTGTGCACAGATCAGGTCGACGCCCTGCTCCAGGGCCCTTGGGACGTGCTTCGGGTGTCCGACCATCTGTCACACATAGCTCGTAGGTGAATGAGGTTGGATGGTCACGGGGAGCAGCTGGACGCACGTTCATCACTGGGATGCCTGCCGCATGCATCTTCTCAACCACCCATTTCGGAGGCACGCCGACCGCACAGACGAAGAGAGTCGTCTTCTCCTCGATGATCACGTCGATCAGCTCTGGTAGATGTCCTTTCTGGTAGTCTACCTGCGATTCACCAACTCAGCATCCTGGTGGCCACGATTGTGCAGCTTCTTACATTCGTCTTGCGAGCGTTTCCGCCGACCTGAGGTATTAACAAATCGACACCGAAGGGTGCATTCTTATCATGCAGGTCGGCTTTGATGGCACGGATCTAGATGGGGAGCTCAATAATTTGATCCAGCTGAATTGGGCTCGAGTAGACGTACTTGTTGGCGGAGGAAATTGGGCGTGTAGCCGTGACCTCCGATCACTCCCAGGCCCCCTGCATTTGTCACTGCTGCTGCCAGTTCAGGGCCAGCAGCGACGTTCATGCCTTCACGTAGACCACGTCAGCACAGCAGTAGTTTCCGATTCTGACGATGAAACGCACCAGCAAGGAGGATGGGATGCTTGATCTTGAACAGCTCCGTAATGGGGGTAGTGATGACGGACATGCTGACGAGCTACAGCGACGCTGCGGCAGGAAAGTCTGAGAGCACCGCTGAACGATCGCACGCAGCCGCACAAGGCTTTTATGGGGGCAGCGTTCGCAGCGGGAACACATGCATGACCATAAATTGTAAGCCAATACTCTGCGTCCGGCTATCGTCCTGGCACCCCGCCGCCCCGGAAACCATGTGATTCGGACCCAAGACAGTGCCGAGATTAAATGCACAATCACAGCTTTGCTCTTGAAAGGCATCTGACATGCCACAAGGAAGAGCGACACTCGCACAGCCTAAATTTTTGCATAACTTCGAAGTCTCCAGATGATGGAAGCTGCGGTCGGACGGTAGGCGCACATGCTCAGCTGAAAACCGTGGCAAGCGCCTTCGCCACAAGCGTGTCAACCTGTTAACATTCCCACGCCACAGACGCGCCGCGGGTTGTTGACGCGCGTCGAGCACATTAATCTCAACAGCAACGATTCCCTACTCCTCCTCATCAAGCTAAATGTGACTAGCGTTGACCCTATCCACTTTATGTAATGAGGCTACACTGTAGTATCTGTCAAGAGCACCATCCCCTGGAGCTCTTCCGCTTTCTTCCCTGCGGTACGCGATGAATGTACATGTCCGGCTAGCGTTGCAGCTGATTGTTTGCTACCTTTACAGGACACGGGTTCTGCATAGATAGTCTGCAACGCTACACAGCTAGTGAACGAAAACCCTGCCCCACATGCCGGCAGCCATTTCGGATACGCGACGCACACGCAATCTACATCGAGAGCTTCGACACGGACCCTCATGCACCTCCGACGCAACTTCTCAATGAAGAAAGCACCTTGCCGTACACAGACGACGTCCTGCGCCAGGCAAGCTATGCAAGTGACAGGATTGCGCAGATCGACGACACGTGTGGTGCAGAGACTGTGAAGAGGGCGGCGCAAGAGATTCAAAAGGTGGTCGATGGCGTAGATCGCGACCCTTGTAGCGTGGAGGTAAATGTCTCATGTATACAATGATGAGCCTCCACTATGAAACTTACATTCCTCGAGACCCTGCTCTCGACACTGGCAGAGTTCTGCAACCGCGTGTCATCCACGTTTTCCACCGTTTCCGTTCAGAAAGAAGAGATCGCGGCGCTTCGAAAAGATTTGCGTGCAGCAGATGCAGCGAAGAATCGCATGCATCAGGAGAAGGACCAAGCACAGCGACTCGCAAGCCAGGCCGTCGACACCGCAGATCAGGCAAGGCGCGAAGTGGTCATTCTGAGGGGAGAGAAGGATGCCTTGAAGAAGCGCATTGATGTGCAGGCGCGAGACTTGGGAGAGCAGCTCGCTGAGAAGACACGCGATCGCACCAATCTATGCGACATGATTGTGGCTCACAAGGAAAAGGTACGTCCTTTGTTAGTACTGCGAGAGCCGCCCCGACCTAGCCGTCGCTCTAGGAAGCGAAGCAGAAAGCGAAGATCGCAGTCCTCAGGCAGGAGCTTGCAGAGCTCCAGTCGACCCGAAAGCCCAGCCACCAAGCAACCCCTCGCACGCCGATCCAGTATCCAAAGTCATCATGGCAGAGCTTCGATCGCCTAGACTTTGAAGACGGCGACCTAGTGTGTCTGTTCCTCACATACTAAGAGCTTATGTCTGATTTCTGCACCAGGATGTGCTGGCAGCCTCGCCGTCCCCACAGTCGCTCCAAGTGGTCAGCACATCCTACAACTCCGACTCCGAGCTCGATTATGGAAACCCCGAACGAGAACCCATCCCAGCGCTCTTCCCCGTACCGACCAACCTGCCAGAGCCTCCCGCGCCTCAGCGGCCCACGTTCCCTACGGACTGGAGCCTGAGGCCGCCGGAGCGTAGAGGAAAGCGCAAACGAGTCGAGTCGTCGGAGAATCCGTTCGGCAATCCTCCGACGTTTCCGATCGCGCTGGATGAGAGAGGGAGACCGAAGGGCGCTGTGCAGTTGGGCCCGAGGCAGAAACACAGAGCTGGGTGAAGCCTTGCTGTTGACAATGGTGGGTGTATAGCGATCAATGTCCACAAATGCTTCCGAGTATGATGATGTTAGGTCACTGATTTTGATATGCACTGTATGCCCGTTTGAAATTGACTGAAAGGCTTTAGACCAAATCAGTACACTTCGGCTTGAGAAGTAAGACTAGCGGTGACCGTGGGAAGTGGTACAGTGAACGCCCTCCTTCGTCTTCACTCCGCCGTCACCAAGACATTCGAACTCGCTAACTTCACGGCTATACATTCTTTTGGATCACCTCGGACACCCATTCTGACCAACGCCGACGAACACTAACGTCCAAACTGCTTACGAGATTGAGAATACCAATTGCAAGACGAGCTGATCTACCTACTGCTCACTTCACGATAGTCCGCTGCATGACCTGGCCGTCCCCGGCGACTCTCACGCTGTCCCCAGAATGTCCTCCTTGAACACATCCGTTATTCCTCCACGGCCGAACTCGCGTCCATCCTCGCGCAACTCCATCGGTCGCTCCGCAAGCCCAGGCATCACACTGTCCGATGACAACGGTACGTCTCCTTCACGCGCTCGCTACTCGGCTCTCGTCTCACCGCGCGTCAGTTGCCATACGCACGCAGATATCCACGCTGAAGCACTCGATTCGCCACCAGCAAGCGCAACTGCACTCGCTCGAAAACGCGCTCTTGCGCGGCCCGCGCCCGCTGCCGCCCGGCATCCTCAGCTCGCCGCCGCTCTCGCCAGATGAGCTCGACCGGCCGCCGTCGCCGCCGAGGATGCAGAAGCGCAACAGCTTTGATGTGTTGCATGGGCTCGCGGGTCCGGATTCGAGCCTTCCCCTGCCGCGAAGGGAGGAGCGGCGACGGTCGTTCGGCGAGGAGAGCGGGATACGCGAGGGCATTCCCACCGTCTCCGGGATGCGAGTACCGAGCCCGACGCGGACACTTAGCCGTACGTTCCATCCGTCGACTCACCGCCACGACGGAGGTTGAATGGCTTCCAGGCATACCCGTCTCCTCAGTAGGTCAGTGGCGTAATGGCTCATTCAGTCGCATATTTGACGTGATGCTCAGGTAACGCGCGTGCCCTCGCCGAGGAAGGCCAGCGGGACAGTTCACATGCAAGTCTGTCACCGAACTACGGCGCGTCCACATCGTCAGTGTCGCCTGCGGCATCGCCAAATCGGCGGTCATCCTTCGCACCGGGGAACACCACCAGAGTCCTTGCGGACTTGCAGCTAGGCGTGCTGAACGCAAGGAACGCGCTCGAGAATACAAAGGCGCAGCTGCGGGTCAGTCAACGCCAGGTGAGCCAGCTCACACGACAGACGGAGGATCTGAAAGAGGTGCGCGAGCGGCTGAGGCTAGAGAACGAGGGGTTGAACAACGTGGTGGCACGGAAAGAGCGCTTGCTGCAGGAGGTACGTGATGGCATCAGAATTTCAGTGTGATGTCCCTGTAATGGAGCCCGCTAGGTTCTCGAACGCGCACGGAAAGCGGAGGCAGAAGTGATCGAGTTGAAGGCGCAGTTCAAGCTCGAGACGACCACTTCGAAGAAGTCGCTCCGCGATATGGACACCTCCCTGGCTGAGGCGACAGCGCGCTCGCAGAAGGCCGAGCGAGAGTATGTCACGTTGCGTGATTCGATGAAGGGCCTCGTGGAGTCATTTCGAGCGGACACCGAGGGCGTGCGCGAGGAGATGCGGCGGCGGGAGGAGAAGCTCCAGCGAGAGGCACAGGAGCTGGGCAAGCGGTACGCGAAGCTCGTGGAGGAAGTGCGCAAGGAACGGGAGCAGGGCGGTATGGGCATGGGTGACGTACGGCAGCTGAAAGAGGAGTACGGGCAAGTCGGGAAGCAACTGGAGGAGAGCTTCCGGGAGGATATCGGCGCGTTGCGCGCGGAGGTGGAGCGGGTGGGGAAGGACAACGATGAGGCGTGGCAAACTGCGAGGTGCGCCGTTTTGTTCATGCAGGACGAGCCCGCTGCGGTTGGTGCTGATGACGTCTGCGCAGGTCCTTGGCGGAGGAGCTCGCTCGCCTTCGCCGACTTATGCGAGCGGACGGCGCTTCGACGACACCGGCTGGAACGAGTGTCACCCCTTAATTCACCTAGACTGTCTCGGTCACACACGGTATCGGTCTCCAGCAAGTGGCGTTCAACTCATATCACTCATCTCATCCAACCGCATATCTATTCTTATCATACACTTATACCCTAGGCATGCTCGCCGTATTGCAGGTACATAATGACATGGCTCTCATTTCTTGTATCGACTAGACCCATGGGTTTGTCGATGCAGTCTCATCTGACGTCGAATCCTCGGAGGGGCGGAGGGTTGTAGGCTGTGAAATAGGGTGATCGAGAGCAAGCCTGGTCGCCGGCATTGAACAAGGTACAAAAAAATCGGCTGCAGTGGCAGATAGTGGCGTATGGGGGGATCACTCGGGATTATCCGTACCTACTGCGCCACCGCGAGTAGTAGACATGCGAGAGGTGGCGACCCTTCCATCTGGCCGTCGTTAGTGGCGGAGCAACCATCCGGAGCGAATCGAAGGCAATGTCGAGAGCGTGCGGGTCCGGTGGTATGCTCGGAGAATCTATGTGATCCGCCTTAAGGCCCCGTTGTGGTCTCGTTCAACGTTCGGAGGTGTGCGGGTAGCTTACCGGTTCACTGGCTTTCTATACGCCGGAGAACACGCCGAGCGGATGATCCGTGCGACTTCTAAGCAGAACCAAAATCTGCAGATTGTGCATATGGAGATACCTCAAGTCAGAAGCCCGTCCATCGCTCTTACTTTACGTCATTGAAATGCAGCGAAGAGTTCTGTATATGCTGGAAGGGGTATATGATCAACACAGCGCACTACGAATATTTACATGGTAAGCCGTTCACCGCATTAACAGAGCGTGTTAACCAGAAGTCACATAGCGCAATCTCACAAATATGCTACACCGTTAGTATATACAGTACATTAGGAATAACCTCTTTCGCTGGGAGATGGCACAGGACGGTCACGGAGTGGGGAGGAAGAAACAGGACAGGATCGGCGAGAGGGAGGACAAGGTAGCGTATGAACGAGAAGTGTCCCGAAAGCACGGTACCGAAAATCCAGTCGTGAGTCAATACATAAATAGTCGTGATCACGCCCGAGCTGCAGCAAAGGGCTTGCTCTCGGGAGGGTCTCCGATTGCGAGCCTGGCGAAATCCGGGGACGGGGAGATGTTCGATGACGAGTTTGAGCGTGTGCGCTTGAGAGGCGGCTCCTCTGGCTCTTCCCGCTTCCTTTTCTGCACGGAGTGGCACTCCGGACAGTCCGAGCAGTAGCTCTCCTCGCTTGGACTGGGCGAGGGCAGGCGGAAAGAAGCTTGCGAGGTTGCGCGCGATTGCACACGGGACATTGAAAGAGGCGTCTCGCACATGCTGTCGCAGAACTTGGTTTGTGCGTGCATCTGAGGAGGGAACGTCGACAAAGTCCTGCAACGACATGATGAATGACAGTCACGGCGCGCTCGATAGGGATATACTCACTGAGACTGAGACTCCTCAAAGCTTTTCTTCAGCTCGTGGTATTTTGTTTCCATGGCATCCCTCTCCGCTCTCATCTTTAGAGCACTGTCACGAGTGATCCTCGCGAGGCCGACGAGGCCTAATGTGGCAGCAGCATGCACGGCAGCGCGCTTTCGCCAAACGACGCAGCATGCCCTCAGGGAGGCGACCTCCGCGCGGAGCCTGTCGCATTCGGAGCTATCAGAAGAGCTAACTATAGTGCTCTTCGATGAGCTGGGAATGCTGTACTCCAGATGCAGCTTACGGACAGCGGGGGTGACGTGGTGCTGAAGGTGGTGGGGGACCAACGCAGGGTCCACTTGGGCTGTAGCGTGTGTCAGTTCCCGCAGTCACCTTCGTCGAGGATGATGATGGGTACGCACAGATGGTATATGGTTGCTTGCACGTTGGGCAGAAGTGGTTATGGGTATAGGGCGTGATACTTCGGACGATCCGGACGATACAGCGGTGGCAAAACACATGCCCTGCATCCGCGCTCGATCATTGTTGTCTCGATCATCCGGTGGGGGAGAGTGCTTACCACAAGGCAGCGCGGCGGGGTCCTTCAGGACGTCAAGGCAGATGATGCAAGTCGGCATGCTGGACATCAACGTTGTTGATACACAGCAGAGGAGGCAGGGTGGTAGTGGTAGGATCTGGTGTAACACATGCACCCCAGCAGCCAGGATTTATACGAGAGGCCATCACGGAAACGGCAGGGATGAGATACATCCGAAGCGTACCGGTTAGGATCGTACCACAGCGTAGACGGCAGGATGGGCACATCCAGAATCGAGATATGTGCAGGGAACCTCACCGAAAACACCGGAGGGGTGATGAACGAATTTCCCGCCAATGCGCGGCGAAACCAGGATGGAGCATAGGAGAGATGATAGTATAGCCCGACGTCTAGAGTAGGATGCATTTCAAACCTGTCCACTGCCTTGCAGGGAGCCACATTGACCTGATCCAGGCTTTCTTCCTGCAAAAGGTAGGTGAGAGAAGGAGACGTCGCACGTTCGCATGATAGATGGGAACTTCGGTTGCTGGGCATGGCGACAACAGCGTGTATCACCCAAGCACATCCCCTGTGTTCTCCGTCAAATTGTGGCCAGACCGATGTGGGCCCGAACGAGACAAGTCGAGGTGCACAGCCGGCGCGGTGCCCCGGGCCGTGGCTCGCGGCTGCTGTCACGGGCACGTGATCGTGGGCGCATTGTGACGCCTCGTGAAGTTGAACAAGGACAGCCACACTCGCGTCTCTAAGGGTTACACCCAGCAAGCACACCTCCAGATGGCTGACGGCTGCTGCAGTATCTGTCTCGACGAACTCAAGGATCCCGTCTCCATCCCCTGCGGTGAGCTTGACAGCGACGAGCAATAGCACAAGCACTCATGTTCACGCGTCGTAGGGCATCTGCACTGCGAGAAATGTCTCATCGCGCATGTCGAAGCAAATGGTGACGCTATGAAGGCCTTGTGCCCGACTTGCCGCGCCGAGTTTACAATTGGTATGCGTGCCACCCCCGTTATAATCTGGCTGCTCGCCCTGATATCGCTTGAAGCGAACCCCGACCTTCGTTTCGTTCCAGCAAAATACCATGAATACATAATTCCAAGTGTTCGACGTATCTTCCTCGACGAGCCCCAATCTGCCACTCAACTCAAGCAAGCAAACGCCCGTCTCGAAGAACGCGTCAGGGCTCTCGAGCGCGACAAAGCATTGCTGATGGAGCGTTGCGAGTCGTCGATGGCCGCATCTAAGAGACATGCCGAAGGAGAGAGAGACGCGCGAAGGGCGAGTGAGAAGCTGAAAGGCGACGTTGTGGACTTGCAGCAGAAGTATGAAGAGCTGAAGCTGAAGTACAAGACATTGAAGAGCTCGTACGTTCTTCTCGGATGTTTAATATCGATTTTGGCTGAGAGAGTACTCAGGCAAGCGGCCAGCAGCTCGAGCCTTGCCTCCAAACGAAACAGAAGCCAAGCCGGTCTGGATAGCCCGAGCTCGGACAGCGACCCCGTGACATCCCCATCGCGCCGCTACGTACTCGAATGGTTTCAGGGAGAGCAAGCGGTACTTGGGTCAAAGCGTGACAGCAGGTCTATTACCGAGAGACGCACGACCCGCACCGCAAAGCGACCGCGTGTAACGCTCGGCTCGCCCTTCAAAACACCGGTACAGCAGACAAACGAATCTGCATCGGGACAAAACGCACCCAATCCCGATTCCCCTGAACGGCTCAGGCCTCGTGTTGGTCCCCGGCCTCGCTATCTGTTTTCAGGCGCAGGTCACCGCCTTCATAGTGACTTTAACGTTCCTATCTCGTCTAGTCGCAGAGCAGGGCGGTCAAGCTCAGCTATTGACGATCCGTCGGGCTTGCTTGGTGACCCGAGGATAGACGACCTCGGGAATGGGATTGAGTCGGATCCGACTCTGGCGTATTTCTGATGGAGAAAGATGTATGAGGATCTACGATTGCTATAAAAAGGGGCGGCTATCTATTCCGCATCGCTGATGAGTATATACTTACATGTTTCCTACTAGCTGCTCGCATGCTTGCTCGTCTCTATATTGCATGTATATACCCGTGCTTTCCAAAATGCTTTCCCACCGAAGAGCGTCTGCCAGGGGGATTCGTTAGCTCAGCCACAGGCGCGTCGCGTAAGTGTGGCGGAAACTTCGCGTCGCCGAGTCATCTCGTTCCGGGAGCTGTAAAATACAAATGCCGCAATCTTTCACGAATTGCCTACCGCAACGCTTTTTCCGGCCGTGACAGATTCACTGCCAGTGAGTGCTTGCTCTATTTGTGACTCTGACTGGAAGCTCTACCGCAGATTTTGACGTTTTCGCTCACGAACTATCTTCGGCGTCTAGATCGTCAATGACTCAAATCGAGAGGTGAATCAGACGCAGTGCTTGGCGTATTGGTCACAACTCAACCAACTCTCGTACTTAGTAAAGTAGAGCCAATAGAGGTGGATCTCGGCCATGCACATCCAGATAGCATCTATGAAATGTCCCGCCTGACGTATGAGGGAGAGGCGAGCACACCCCAGGCGGCGTCATCAGAGGAAACTGTATCCGTCCCTGGATCCATGGGGTCCGAGACTACCGTGCAGGAGCTGTCACCGATAGATGGTGGCTGGAAGGCTTGGCGGTTTTGTGCGGCTGGGTTCATGCTCGAGGTCATGACCTGGGGATTCGAATTCAGGTGTGTTCCGGCATTCAAACCGGTGAATGTCTGTTCCTGACGGCTGCTTCAGTTACGGTATCTTTCAAGGTATGTCGCGTAAAGCAAAATAAAGAAGGATAGACGTGATCAGCCTTGCAGATTACTACACGTCTAATCCACCATTCCAAAATGAATCCGTCGTATCCATCGCGGCGGTGGGTACCGCAGCGATAGCAATACAATATGTAGAGGTATATCGCGTTAGCCCTCAATCATGCATATCACATCTCATCCTGATACTCAGACGATCTTTCTATCTCTGTTCTTCGAGCGCTACCCTGATTATCTCAAAGCAAGTGTATGGGTCGGACTGGCAATTGCGTTCGCTTCTCTTCTCATAGCCAGTTTTTCAACCAAGGTGAGCGTCCTTACGTTTGCTGAACAAAGATTATAGCATTGATTTGCCTGCTGGAAGCTCTGGCATCTCATCCTCTTGCAGGGAGTATGCTACGGGATCAGCGGCGGCCTTCTCTACTTCCCAATCCTGGTTCTCTTACCACAATGGTTTGTCCGTCGACGTGGCCTCGCCACTGGAGTCATCTTCGCTGGATCTGGTGTCGGCGGTAAGTATCCGTAGCATTTTTCTGACATGACTGGAAGAGCATTTTATCTGATCTCTTGGTTGTAGGTTTCGCATTCCCCTTCCTCCTGCAAGCCTTACTGGAAAAATATGGCTTCCGCTGGACATTACGCATCTGGGCGATTGTGACACTTGTGGTCGTCGGCGTGGCAATCCTCGGGTTTACACCTCGTTTGCCTGTACCGAAGTTCCAGCGCGGCCAGAGACCACGGTTCATTCCCCCGCAGATGCAATTCCTCAAAACCCCTCTATTCTGGGCAATTGTAATATCGTTTTATATGCCGTCGTGACACATGCACTGACATCACTTGATGAAGAGTGTCACGACGGTTCTACAAGCACTATCCTATTTTTCGGTCTCGCTATACATCGCCACCTACACCAAAGTGATGTCCACTGCATTCTCCGCGTCCATCGTGCTCGCGCTCTTCAACTCCTCCGGCGTCGTCTTCCAGGTTCTCATCGGCCATTTGTGCGATCGTCTCCCATATACGTGGATCATGTTCTTCAGCACGCTCGGAAGCGGTCTGTCGGTGTTCCTGCTGTGGGGCTTCGCGCGCACGCTCCCGCTGGTCTTCGTGTTTGCGATCATTTTTGGTGGCTTGGTGGGTATCCGTCCATACCTCTCCTGACCTGACGCCCTCATTGACTCTTCGTTCCACCTAGATGGGTGGCTACAACTCTGTGGGACCCATCGCAGCAGCAGACTGTGCGGGCAGCAAGCCGGAACAATCCAGTATCATTTGGGCGCTGTCGTTCGCTCTCAAGGGCGTCGCGTCCGTGGTCGGGCCACTCGTGTCCGGTGTTCTCTACAGTGTAGGCAAGTCCTCGCCGCATGCGTCCGAGCTGCGCTATGGGGCGTACGGATTCCAGGCGGTGGAGATATTCGTCGGGGTGTGTGCGGTGGCAACTAGCCTGTCCAGCATTGCGGTCGCGGCTACGAGGGGAAAGGTGCAGGTTCCGCCGTGACGGGTGAATGCGTCATGCATTATCGATAAGATGGTTGATTTAGCGTGCCCGGGCCGTCGTGCGGTTTAAGTGGCTTTTCGGCATAGAAGAATAATGAGATGATATCGTGATGTTTCATTAATGCATGCGTAGGAGCTAGCTAGCGGCTTCCTGTGTCTGAGTGCTTGACTGTGTCCGGCGAGTACATAATGCTCTCCGAGTTCTCCGGTAATGGGGCCAAGTATCGGCCTTCAACAGCATCTGTAATTACACACCTGGGTTAGGCTTTCAATTAGCCACAGGCGCGTCGCGCAACCGCGTGATGGCTGAATGCGTGCCAGCAGAGTCATCTCTCGCCATGTGCCATCATTTACTACGCTTACCACACAGACTTATTCATCCACTTGTACAAGCCTTCCGAGGACGGTTCACTACCTACAATGTATGACTTTCCTGGTGAGAGCAGAATGATGCGAGCTGATGATCTACTATGCTGCAGCGCCAAGGAGGTAGTAACATAATTGCTAGCAACTCACGAGGATCTCTCGTACTGCAGGAAAGATTATATAGACATGGAGCCCGGACATTCCAAAAAACTCAGTGACTATGAGATGTTTCCTATCCCTCGCGAGAGAGAGAGACGGCGCCGCCGGGCGAGTGTCAGTGTCAGGCCGCACAACCAGATGAGACGGCATCAGTACGCAGTTCCTCGGTACACGAGACTTCGGTGCAAGAGCTGGCTCCAGTAGATGGCGGATGGAAGGCGTGGCGATTTTGCGCAGCCGGTCTTGTACTCGAAGCTATGATATGGGGATTTGGATTCAGGTATGCGCTATTAAACGCTTTCGCGATGTCCACCGTTCATGCTGATGATCACCATAGTTATGGTATCTTCCAGGGTATGCAATTATCTATCCGTTGGCGAATCGGGACCACCGTTCTAGAATATTACAGACTATTACACGTCCAATCCGCCTTTTGAGCACGAGTCCGTTGTCTCCATCGCAGCAGTGGGAACCACAGCAATGGCGATACAGTTCGGGGAGGCAAGTCTCGAAAACTATGGCCGGTTCCATCATTATTGAGCACTACTGCAGACGATTTTCTTATCACTGTTCTTCGAGCGCTATCCGGACTGGCTAAAGGCAAGCGCCTGGGTTGGCTTGCTGATCGCATTTGCCTCTCTCCTGTTGGCGAGCTTTGCTACTAAGGTGAGGTCATCTCCTTGTCTTCTCGCTAGACAGAGTTTGAACGATTCGTATCTAGCTATGGCACCTCATTGTCCTACAGGGCATGTGCTTCGGTATTAGCGGAGGCCTCCTCTACTACCCCGTCATTGTCTGGCTTCCGCAATGGTTCGTTCGCCGGCGCGGCCTTGCCTCAGGCATCATCTTTTCAGGCTCTGGCGTCGGTGGTCAGTCCCTCAAACATTGTGACGTCTTCATACCGCCATTGATAGAACTCAATCCTGCTGCAGGCTTCGCATTCCCGTTCATGCTGCAAACAATGCTAGAGAAATATGGGTTCCGTTGGACGTTGCGTATCTGGTCATTCTTCACGCTCGTGACCGTCGGTGTAGCAGTACTCGGGATGACATCCCGTCTGCCCGTGCCCAAATTCCGACGTGGGCAGAGGCCACGATTCATCCCTCCGCAGATGCATTTCCTCAGAACACCTATGTTCTGGGCATTTGTGCGTTCATTCTGCTAGCAGGAATAAAATGTGTACTGATGTATCGTATTTGCGACACAGGGCATCACAACCGCTCTGCAAGCACTCTCGTACAACTCCGTCTCGCTGTACATCGCCACCTACACCAAGGTCATCTCCACGGCGTTCTCAGCGTCCGTGGTGCTCGCGCTCTTCAACTCCTCCGGCGTCGTCTTCCAGGTGCTCACCGGGCACCTGTGCGACCGGATCCCGTACACGTGGGTCATGTTCGTTAGCACGTTCGCCGGCGGCCTGTCTGTCTTCCTGCTGTGGGGCTTTGCGCGTACCCTCCCTCTCGTCTTTGTGTTTTCCGTCGTCTTCGGTGGCCTGGTGAGAACATTCTTCAGCAGCAGCAGCTACCACAGCACAGCTAAATCAATCATTTTTTGCCGATTCAGATGGGTGGCTATAATTCTGTGGGGCCTCTCGCGATCGCAGACTGTGCGGGTAGCAAGCCCGAGCAGTCGAGTATCATCTGGGCGCTCTCTTTCGTCTTCAGGGGCATCGCGTCAGTAGTCGGACCAGTGGTATCCGGTACCCTCTATGATCTGGGGAAAGCATCGCCGCATGCGTCCGAGCTGAGCTATGGGGCGTACGGATTCCAGGCGCTGGAAATATTCGTCGGGGTCTGTGCGGTGGCGACTAGCCTGTCCAGCATTGTGGTTGCGGCCACGAGGGGGAGGGTGCAGGTTCCGCCGTGACGTGGTGGATGCGTCACGCATTATCGGTAGGATAGTTGATATGATTTGCCGCCTTCGTGCGGTGTAGTGGCTTTCGGCATAGAGGAATAATGAGACAAGGTGAGGATTGATTAATGCATGCGTAGGAGCAAGCTAGCGACTTCCTGTTTGTGAGCACTTGACTGTATTCGGCAGTGCGTAATGCTTCCCAAGTTCCACGCGGTAATGGTTCTTCAATTAGCCACAGGCGCGTGCACAATTGCGTGACGGCTGCACTCGCTATCCACCGTCGATTACAAATGATGTACGTGACGCTTGCTCGCAGACTTATGCATCCACTTGCACAGGCCTTTTGAGGACGGATTCTCTCCTGCAACGTATGACTTTTCTGGTGTGAGAGCAGAACGACGCATGCTAACGATCCAGTGATGCTGCGCCAATCGGATCACATGTGAGTCACAGGAAGTAGTAACGTAATTGCTAGCAACTCATGAAGATCTCTCATATTGCAGGACAGACCCTTTAGACATGGAGCCCGGACATTCCATAAAACTCAGCGACTATGAGATGTATCCTATCCCTTGCGAAGGAGAGCCGGCCGAGTCTCAGTCTCAGGCTGCGCAACTAAACCAGACGGAATCAGTACTCAGTTCCTCGGTACACGAGACTTCCGTGCAGGAGCTGGCTCCCGTGGATGGCGGATGGAAGGCCTGGCGATTCTGCGCAGCTGGCGTTGTACTCGAAGCCATGATATGGGGATTTGGGTACAGGTATGAGTCACTGGACATTTCACGATGTTAAGCATTCATGCTGATGATTCACAGCTATGGTATCTTCCAAGGTATGTAGGATTCTACGCGCTTGTAGATTGACGCCTCCACTCGAGAATGCGATAGATTATTACACGTCCAATCCACCATTTGAGCACGCGTCCGTTGTCTCTATCGCGGCAGTAGGAACTACATCAATAGGGATACAATTTGGGGAGGCAAGTCTTAACAGAAATGACCAGTTCCATTGTCATTGAGTACGATTGTAGACGATATTTCTTTCACTCTTCTTTGAGCGCTATCCGGACTGGCTAAAGGCAAGCGCCTGGGTTGGCTTGCTGATCGCCTTTGCCTCTCTCCTGTTGGCGAGCTTTGCTACCGAGGTGAGGTCATGGCTTTATCTTCCGGAGGCTAAATAGAGGCTGAACAATCCGTATATAGCTATGGCACCTCATTCTCCTACAGGGTGTGTGCTTCGGCATCAGCGGAGGCCTCATTTACTATCCCATCATTGTCTGGCTTCCGCAATGGTTCGTTCGCCGGCGCGGCCTTGCCTCGGGCATCATCTTTTCAGGCTCTGGCGTTGGCGGTCAGTCCATCTTATACCGTATCATCTCCGTTTCGCCATTCATAGCACCCAATCCTGCTACAGGCTTCGCATTCCCGTTCATGCTGCAAACCATGCTAGAGAAATATGGGTTCCGTTGGACGTTGCGTATCTGGTCATTCTTCACGCTCGTAACCGTCGGTGTAGCAGTGCTCGGTATGACGCCCCGTCTGCCCGTGCCCAAGTTCCGACGCGGGCAGAGGCCACGATTCATTCCTCCGCAGATGCACTTCCTCAGAAGACCTATGTTCTGGGCATTGGTAGATTTCGTTTCACCAACGGGAATGAATTACGTACTGACGTATCGTATCTCACGACATAGGGCATCGCGACCGTTCTGCAGGTCCTCTCGTACAACTCCGTCTCACTATACATTGCTACATACACCAAGGTCATCTCCACGGCGTTCGAGGCGTCGGTAGTGCTCGCGCTCTTCAACTCCTCCGGCGTCATCTTCCAGGTGCTCACCGGGCACCTGTGCGACCGGATCCCGTACACGTGGGTCATGTTCGTTAGCACGTTCGCCGGTGGCCTGTCCGTGTTCCTCCTCTGGGGCTTTGCGCGTACTCTCCCTCTCGTCTTTGTGTTCTCGGTCGTCTTCGGCGGCTTGGTGAGTACACTTTCCAACAGCAGCAAATATTGCATCACAGCTGAATTGATTTTTATGGTGGACTCAGATGAGCGGCTTTAACTCTGTGGAGCTCCTCGCGATCGCAGACTGTGCGGGTAGCAAGCCCGAGCAGTCAAGCATCATCTGGGCGCTCTGTTTCGTTTTTAGGGGCATTGCGTCAGTAGTCGGACCGCTGGTATCCGGTACCCTGTACGATCTGGGGAAAACATCACCGCATGCGTCCGAGATGAGCTATGGGGCGTACGGGTTCCAGGCGCTGGAGATATTCGTCGGGGTTTGTGCTGTGGCGACCAGCGTTTCGAGTATTGTTGTGGCGGCTACGAGGAGCAGAGTGCAGGTCCAGTCGTGATGGGGTATATAGTCATGATATATGGTCGGTAGCATTTCCAACGGTTTTTACGCGAGGGTATGTTACTGATACACGTAGTTATGGGCTTGGGGTATATGGTTCACTTCCCAGGGTTCCCGCCCAGTAATCGGACACCTTCCCCATCCGACACAGCAATGATTTGTGCCCGATTTGTCTTTGTCAAGGTGTTCACTGCCTTGCGCAAGAGGGTGGTTGGAATGCCTAATAGCGGTGAGGGTACCGGTGGCTCGATGATCTCGTAGAATGTCAGGATAGTGTTCAGTTGACCGGTTGATGATGCCTGCATGTGTGTGAGGGAAGCCGACATCAACAACGAGAGAATACGTGCGTACCCAGTCATGTAGAACTTCTGCCCATTCCTCTGGTTGTCGCCAGTGAAGCAAGACAGTTCGTGTCTGCTTAGCGGGCTCGTACACAGCTCGATTCTTCGTGACCATGTCGGCAAGAATGAGTGAGAGATGTGATGGCGTGATGCGTCCTGCTCGATACAATTGATAATTCGAGTATGAGCTCGGGTCGCAAAGGTAAGACACTCACGGTTTATCCGTTCATTTCGCAGAATCTCGTCCCAGTCATTTCCAGCAGTCTCGGCGTCCTCCACACGTATGTAGAACAGCTGGCGATGCCGCGCGTACGAGAGGATCAGTCTGGACCACTGTTCAGTGAGGATGGCTTGTGTGGCGACGTTGGGTTGCTGTCTGCGAACTCGTGATTAGGAGCGATCGTAGAGGGCGTGACGCATGGAAGCGAATTCTGACGTGAAGAAAGGCGGTGCAGAGTGAATGGAAGGTAGCAGATACCCTGCCATGGAATCAGTGGTTGAAAGAGTGAGAATGCACATCTATATGCACCTAATGGTGTAGTGTGCTTTGAAAGAGCCATAGCTGGAGATACGTGGCCGCGGTATTCGTTATGACTACATGCCAATACAATTCATGTCAATGTTCCGTGTCAGTTTTCACGCTGCTCGTCGCTGCTTGCCTTGTCTATGCAGATGGGGATGATGAAGATAGCGCTTGTCGGGTAGGATCACTGTATCTGGTCCGCACAGAGCCACTGCAGACATGAAGGCATTTGCAAATGTGTGTTTTAGAGTGACCTTTGCATAGTGCCCTAATTATCAAAAACGTATTTAAGTGTAATTTAGTAACATCAAATAATTGCACAAATGAACGATTGCAAATGCTGATCATATCCCATGTGGTGTGCACTGCGATCATCCAAGAGCTCTCGATCGAGATGCATTTCGATCGCATCACCCTCGCCCGCCCTTGCACCATCATCAACTCAGGGCTAAGTACGGCTCATTCTATCTGAGATTCTCATCGGCACCCGCTCAGCTTGAAAAAAAATGAGAGCCAAAAGACCGGCACACTATGCTAGGAGCCTGCGATCGTGCTAGCCCCCCACAGGTTTTCTATGGCATGAAGCGATATAGATGTGCCCTGGCCGTTGCTTAATGGGTGACATTGTGCGGAGCTCTGAGGTTCCGGTCTTCTTTGCCATCATTAATTTGTCTATCTGACCAGTCGGTACTGCATACTGAACGCGGATGCTGGACGTTTTGGAACTGGAAACGGGATGCCATATCCTGAGCACCTTTACCGGAAGAACTGGAACAGCTTGATTGAAAGATATAGCATTGCCTAAGGGTGCTTGATCACTGTTGATCGTGTACATTGGAGGGGAGGATAAATCATTATCGGATATGCATACGATGAATAAATGGGGTATCGATCACTGGCACACAGGAAGGCAGCGCTTGTACGAACAACTGATTGATCGGCAACCTGACCATCGCTCTGTTGAGGAACCGTCGTACAGCAGAGGAGTGGGTTGAGTCATCGAAGACAGAAAACGGTCAGGAAGGAGATATCACAGCATCAATCTTCCTCGCTTTGGTCGCCCAAGAAGGCCATGATGCTCTGTCGAGCGGTAGTCTGACGGGAGATAAGATAAAGAATGCAGGCTCAGGCAGGAAAGACTTACCCGAGGTCGTCTCGGAACATCGCCCTCCTCGTCCGAATCATCCGCATCCTCCTGTTGAGCGCGACCTCTTTTTCGTGCACGCTCCGAGGAACTTGACACCACCGCTTTCTGAAAATTCTGCACGTCCTCTGAGCAGTGCATATGAGCGGGTGAAACAAGCATCGAAGCAAAACCAGCGGGCAGCGTACCTAGTTCCTTCGCCAACTCCCGCTTCGCCCGGATCGTCTTAGCTTGCTCCATGCTGAAACGGCCGGTCATGCCGAGGTCGCTGAGGATGGCCTTCAGTCGCTTGATCTGCGCGGACGGCGTGTCGAGGTCCTTGAACTCCTTCGACCAGGCCTTCCGCACGCCGCACGCGACAACAAACGACTGGACATCACGTTATCGATGAGTAGATCAAACATCAAGCGGATGTATATGTGAGATATGGACATTGCCACTCGTTGTGAAGACGAGGCATACCTTCATGCGTTTGATGGTCTCTTCATCTTTGGATAGTTCCTTTGCGGGCTGCTTGCCCTTCTTTTCCTTTGTTTGCTTCTTTGCCTTCTGAACAGCAGCATATCAATCAGTACATATACCCACGAGCTGTAAAACGGGAAAACAGCTTACAGATTTCGCCTCCAAGTCCTACAATGCAAAGTTCTGTTAGACGTTTGAGCAAGGAACCAGATTCACTTATTCACCTCGCCCTTCTTCTTGCGGCTTTGCTTTGGTGGCTCGTCGATGAGAACAGACATCTCAGACTCGCTTTTCTACATTAGATAGCCTCAGAAGACGTACGCCCACACTGCAGAGAGTAGCTCACGTAGCCACTGTCGACAAGCTTCACGCTCGTTTCGCCACCTTCCTCCGCCTCGGGAGTCACTTCCTTAGATGGTGGTACACTCGCGACTGGCGAAGCATTGAACTCTTCAATGGCCGCCTTATGGCGCTTCTTGGGCGGTTCTGCAGCCGCCTCAGCGTCGGATTCCTGGGGTGAAGGGTTCAGTCACAGGGTGTGTGTATTCAAAGCCCAGCACATACACCGTTAGAGACTATTTGTTCCGTTTTAGCCTTGCTTTGACGTTTTGCCTTTGGCGAGCTACCAGATGGTGCAGCGTCCTCTTCCATATCTTCATCTGACGATGGAACAACGGACTAAAGAACTTGAGAAGCTTTCTGTACGAGATATTTGTATACGTACGGAAGACCGCTGTTTCTTTGTAGGTTTCGGAGAACCCGACTTGGCCGCTTTCTTCCTTGCCTTCTTCTCCTTCGGTGCCGGCTTCGAACGCGGTTTCTTACCCTTCTCGCCATCGCTCATTTTCGATTTGGCTTTTTTGGGTTTCTCCTCTTCACGTTTCACAAATTCATCCTATGAAAATGTATATGATAAGAAGCATGCATTGATAGTGCGATCGTGACATACAACGGCGGCTGCAGTGACCTCCTTGACCAGCTTCCTATATTCCTTCTCCTCCAGTGCACCACTTTCAAGCTCCAGCCTTCTCTCCACCTCTTGACGCAACGTCGAGTTTTTCCAATATCTTCCACATTTCGACGAACATAAGTCCACGATGTTACACCTGGAGTCCTGGACACACGGTAGGACGTACCCCGACTCTAGCTTTCCATCTCGGTCGGCCTCCACGAGGATCTCGCGTACGCATCGGCTGATCGCATCCTTGTCGGGTTCAGACATCCTGGCAGCGGTAGACGTGCTGACGCGGACTTTGCAATGGGAAGCACACTGCGGTCTGAGAACGGGCCACTCGCGAGTGTATAGACGCATTTGGTTGTGTTTGGACGCGCGTCGCGTCGCGCTTGTCACGTGTGACGCGACGCGTTCGCAACGCGTCCCGGTACCACGTGTGGTCGCGTCTCCCGGCCCCTTGTCTCACTCACGCTGTTCGCATCCGTCGCTGCAAGTTTCACTATGTCCACCAAAACACCTGTTCTCGCCATTGCAGACCCGGAGGGTTCTCTATCGACATGTACGCCGTACCTCATGCCTTTTCACATCGCGTACTCGGGTCCAGCTCCTGTATCGACATACTTCCGAGTCAAACCCGCATCGACACCCACGCATGGGAAACAGGCCAGTGCTGAAGTCCCAAAGACACAAGAAGACGAGTCATCGCAAGCCGTCACCCTCGCCGCCAATTCATCCTCCTCATCACAATCCACGCTCGTCGCCAGCTCGTCAAGCGCTTCGCTCGATGTCACTTTGCCTGCTGCACGTTCTCAGGATACGATTGTGGCAGGTGATCAGGCGATGACTGACGTAGACGCGGAAGTTGAAGAACCGAAGAGATTCATCGCCGCGTTCCGGGGGCGGACTGTTCAGGGCTTGCAAGTGACCCTGCCCGTAGGCTACGGAGGATTAGTTTTGCGCACGCCAGATGAAAAACCAAAGAATGACTCGCCCCAGGGGAGAACGGGAGAAAAGAAAAGGAAGGGTGGCATGCGATTGACCCGGCATTCAGCACGAGCGGTCATTGACGATGATGCCGAAGAGACGCTGGACGATCCAGACACCCCCGTGCGGAGGCTGCAGCCCACCGCGACATTCTCATCATTCGTGCTCTGGAATCAAGATATTCCGGTAGACGACGGCAGGGATGAGTATCTGCGATCATTGACGGAATGGACGAGACTCGCAGCGGAGGTGCGCGATTCCCTCGGCGAGTCATCACGTCCGAATTCGGACTGACATTTTGACAAGATACACCGTTGCGAAGAGGACAGTTGATGGGCGTACGAGGTGCGAGGCACAAGCCCTCCCCAGGCGGGGAGTGTAGTCCGTTCCCGATGGTCAATCGGTGAAAGCAGTTCAGAGCCGTGTGCATCAATGCTTTTCGTCGTTGCGGAGCTTGGCTTTGACGACGTGTACTTGTTGTGTGATGGTTTCGGACAGCCAAAACACGCTACTCTATGTTCGACCCTTTTCAATAAGTTTAAGTGCGCATTATACCTGCCTGCCTGCAGGGCTGCGCACAGGCGTACATGTTTGTCGCTGTGTCGCGGTTCCTGGAATCTGCACATCAATAAACTCTTGCCTATTGTGGCAAGTCTAGTGTTCAGCGCCGGCATCAAGCTTGGCGCTCATTAATCATTCGTCGGCAGACTGACGCCGGGCTCATGCGAGATAAAAGGCAGCCGGCGGCGCGTGCATACACCCTCCTTCCTCCCCCCGAGACAGGACCATCCACTCCTTGACAAAGTCACTCCTTATTCGCCTCTGGTATCTGGGTCCCGTTTTCCAATACCCTGTGAGTTATTGAGCTCGATCTCGCAGTGATCATTCGTTCCTCACGCCGTCTTTGTAAAGTCTGAACTCTGTACAATCGCATCCGAAAAAAATTGTACGATGTTTGTATCAGCCGTCTCTGCTGCAATTCTTGCTATCGCAGCGCTTGTGCGCGCCGATCCGGACCCGACAACGCCCAGCCCCGGTGCCGTATACGATGAAGGCTCTACGTGCGACGTCGCTTGGATTGCAGATACTTCTGGTGTATGGAAGACCATGAACATCGAGCTCATGACCGGTAACAACTATCAGATGCAGTTGCTCACGAGTACGTCTCTTTTTGAGTCCTTTATTGATGATCTCACAAACATTCTGTATTTTGAATTGTAGCCATAGCCACCGTGGATGGGACTGACGCCAGTAAAGCCTCATACAGTTACCCTTGCCCTGATGTACGTTTCTCCGTACCGCAGGTCGTTTCTCTTCGTTGATTCGAGCTGACATCACACTCTACAGGTTGACCCGAATTCTGCGATCTACTTCTATCAGTTTACCTCGCCCGATTCCGCTAATGTCTACTGGACGGGCCGCTTCGCCATCGCGACTGCCGACGGCTCAACGACGCCGCCAACCGAGAGCACCGTGTATAACGGCGAAACCGTCTACTGGGGCAATGGCGCGCTTGTCGGCTCGTCCGGCACGGGCACCGCCGCGTCGTCAGGCGAGAGTTCTGTTGCCCCCACCGAGACGGCAACAGCGACGCCAACAGACAGCACCACCTTGTCAACTGTCGTCTCTACGCCTACGAGTATCTCACCGGATTCAGCGACTTCATCTGCAAGCTCGACTGTCATCGCGTCGCCGACGTCCGCCACAGAATCCGCGTCGCCGACGTCCGCCACAGAATCCGCGTCGCTGACATCCGCCACAGACTCCGCGTCGCCGACATCCGCCACAGATTCCGCGTCTTCGTCTGGGCTTGGTATCACCGAGGTCGTGCAGGTTACTTCGTCTGCTACTACTTCGTCTGCTACTTCCACCGGGTCTGCGTCGACTATTTCCTCCGATAACGCGTCGAACACTTCTGCGAGCCAAACCCCTGCGACCTCATCTGGGATGTCTTCGGTCTCTCGTGCGAGCACGGCTGCTCCTGCGACAACCTCTGACGCAAGCAGCGGGACCTCCTCTGCCAACGGGGCGAATTCTTCGTCTGGAAGCAACTCGACTAGCGGTGCACTGAAAGTGCACGGCCAAGTCCTTCAGGCATCCATCGCGCTCGGCATCGCAGCAGTCACCTTCTTTGTAGCCATGTAACCGCTGCCATCTCCTCTTCCACCTCTTGTCTCTGCCGCTGGCCCGAAAATCCCTTCCGGGCTGTCCTGTCTCTACTGTGAAAACCAGCACGGCCATCTCTTTCGCCCGTATATAGTGTACACGCCACATATTGTGCTTTAGTTGCTCTGACCGTAGACGCTGACCCAGACGTGATGTAATGTACTGACTTACTTATTGTTGCACTTTGGCCCGACCGCTTGTTTGTACGAACCTCGTACGGTCGTGTTGTTTCGGTAATACAAGTAGTGAGTTAGAAGTAAATAAACCGACCAACATCATGATACCCCCACACACCGAGTCCGCTACGAATTTTCATTTAATAGTTGCGCGTTTGTGACGCGATCGTCCCTGTCTGCCCATCCAGGAAGCTGATATCCTGTTGAGCGTTTTTCACAACGAACGCGTTTCCTTTCACTTTCATACGCAAACTTGTCAGTTCTGAAACAAAGGGAAGTGTTTGCAGGTCATGGCACCCAACAACTGCGTCATATGCCCCGAAATCCTCTTGGTCTCTTTAAAGTCTGCATCTCGCCGTGGCCCTCATCATGACTGCATAGCCATCAGAGAAGACGGATCATCCGTTGCACCTGGACACACCCAATGCCTGATCATTTGAACCGCTCAATTGCCTGCAAACACGATTCCCACGTACCTCCTTGTGCCCGCGAGCTAGGCCCAGGACCGCCGACATCGTAGCGCGCGCCTACTTCGACGGGCGGTCTCCGAGTGAGGAAGTCGCTGGAAAACGTCCATCGAGAGTTTATCTGAAGTCACTCCGGATGCCCGTGCCCGCCGACGGATGTTGAAATACGGTCGGGTCTTGGAAGGTGATGTTCATCTGATTACCGCCCGGCGACGAGTGCTGCGACAGTTCTGACGTTATGTCCATGCGACAATAGTGCGGATAGTCAGTGTAAAGCAGAATGTGATGGCAGAGGACGTCAGGAAGTCCATGCTGATGTGCACGGTTGTTATATGCGGTTCAGTGGGGGAGACATGGTATCAACGCCACCGACGCGCCGACGCGTTGGGTCACGTGCGAGCGAATTTAGACGCGCGTGACTTGACGCCTTCATCCTCGTCGCCGAGGGCCGAGCCGCAAGCTCCTGGCTGTCTGCGGTATGCTCATCATGATGGCTTGTTATGCAAAGTAGTGAGATCTCGCTCTCTATCATCAAGATTTCTGGGCGAATCTCACCGAAGAGCCGAATGTGATTCTCGAAATATTCCGACAGCGATGCAATGGAACTCATTGATTAGCCTACAGACATACGGTATCGTTGCGTACATGAAGCATTTTGCGCGAGATCCTAACCTAAGATACAACAAGTTTTGGTTCTGCCTGGACTTTGTCACACGGGTCATAACGAAGGTGAGATTTGATACTCCATTCTCTAGATATCTGATTTCCTGCCTCCCATGGCTCTGAAGAAGCCGCGCACGTTCATTTTCGACGGTGATTTACCACTGTCGTTATGAGCGACTTTCCTTGCCGCCATTGAGCGGGTGTCAGACCGTGATGAAACGCGTGGCGGTTCTGATGGGCGCTGATGTGAGTGATGGTGGGGAGGCAGAGGGACGAGCGCAGGCGCAGGCTCGAATGAACTCTCGAGGAAGTCTTTCCGCATATCGTCCAGCGGGTTTGTCGGGCACTTCGACGCAGAGCTGGGAGTTGCTCGCCGACGGTCCTTGTTCAGTGCAGAGGCAGGTTCGTCGGGCACGGGGAATATGTCAAGCAGGAACTCGGGCTTGCGGAGATGCGGTGCTGGTCGGCGGTGTCGTGTTGGTAGTGCAAGCGCCGACATTCCTGGTCTTCGCATTGCGGAGCCGCTCCCGAACACAGCAACGTCGTCTCGCGCGTCCGCATCGTCCTGCATGGCATACCGCGGGTCGAGGTCCGAGTCATCGCTCGACACGCTCCATCTCCTCTCATCTCGGCCAATGCGCGACGCGCCGGAAGCAGAGCCGAAGCGGACCCAGCCCCCATCGACGTCGCCGTCGCACTCGTCATCCGCGCCCAACAGATGCGCATACTCCCACTCCTCGTCTTGGTCGCGCCAGACGCCCCCTTGACCATCCCTCCAAGCATCACCGACACCGACGAGAACGCCGTTCACCATCTGTGCGCCACCGGCGCGCGCCTGGGCTTCTGCGAAGCGTCTAATGTGATCGTCCATCTTGCCTCCATCGGCGAGCTGCGCGAGCGCGAGCTCCGTGGCGAATGTCGGCGGGCAGTATTTGGCATACTGCGATTTCTTGCTCTTGCTCACGGTGTCCTTCGATTGGGCGCGAGTAGTCGCGGGCACCTTCGGAATGGATTTCTTCACGAGGGGAACAGGAGCGGGCATGTTGGTGGAATTCGAGCTGGAACGGGTAGATTTCAATGCAGAGAGCGAGCGGAAGTGCTTGAGACCGCGTCGAGCTGGCTTTTTAGGAGCTTGCGATGCAGGGGTAGATGGATATGCGGCAGAAAAAGGTGTATAGGGGACGGCCACGAAGACAGAAGCGTATCCGACTGTGGTGAGATCGTGCTTGAAGTCCTTCGCGGATGGGGTGATACAACTCGCAGATGACCTTTCTAATGAAGTAACTGACGGGCGGTGCGTGTTGGATATCTGAGATTTCTGTTTTGGCGTGGGCGGTGCTGGAGATCCCGGTTGGACGTTGGCTATCCAGGCAGTGATGGCCGATGTGGTTGGCGATCGAGAACTACCTGATATGGGCTTGTTCGAGCTAGAGGAAGCCTCGGCAGGTGTAGCAGGAAGAGGCTTTGTGGGGCGTTTCTTCTGCGGTGGTGGGTGTAGCAGGAAAGAATACTTCGGTGCTGATTGTGTCGTTTCTGTAGCAGGAAATTCGGCAAGGGCAACGGACATAGAATTGGGTAGGTGGGTTGGCGTCTCGAACCAAACTGCTGCCACAACTTCGATCAGTCAAAGCGTCATCAGACAGTTGAGGCGGTGAGTACTCACATGGATTGTGGCTGAACTCTACCACACGGATAATCTCAAACGTGTTTCAGGTACGATGATGCCACAAAATGCAAGGTACGCTCGTTCGTTTATTTCACCGGACAGATATTGCAGGCTGAGGGGGGAAGGGGGACGTTGGCCTTAACAGATGATCGAGAAGCTGCAAACCAGTGGTACTTACACGAACGTGGCCAAGGATAGCTGCAGTTGAACAAAGTACGATCTCTGACAAGGCTCCTCTTGTACCGAGTGCGGGACAAAAGCGGGCCACCACGACAATGAACAATAACCATCGTTGGACGAGCACTATAAATGCCTTGCGAGCGCCCCGCCCCATACGCGCTGCTGGACGAACACAATCAGCCATAATACCGTCGACCGGAACCCTGGGTAGCGCGAAATGTGGCTTCGCTCGCGTTAATAGTGCTCGCTGAGCTCTGGTTATTGTTTCCGTCTGACATTTAGCAAGCAGTTCCCGGGTCCACCTTGCGAATACAAGGCCTTCCTTTCTCGGAGGAGGCTCACGTGGCATAGACGCTCGACAAGACAATAAGCAATGCTGCGCGTCAATGTCGCGTGCCCGCTGCAATGACAATAAAGCCTGCTATCGCTGACTTCTTTGCCTGGCTCACTCGTGCCTCCGTCTCCTTCTAGCGGCACTAGCATCGCAGAGCCTACCCACGCAATTGTTGACGTCCTCACCTCGACTCTCTCTAGCCGCAAATCCTCCGTCTCGAAGCTGCTATCGCTGTGTCTGCGCCTGGTCATGCCACCTCTCCGCCATCTTGATCAACGACAGCCGAAAAGCTCAATTGTGCTGTGGCGACGCCTCATTGTCGGTGATCTTACTGCTCGTGTCCCGGTGGTCACCGTGATAATGCCGTGTCGACGTACTGATGTCACTGTCGTTGACAGCCCTCGGTTGCCACGCTTGCGTCTGTACTACCATGTCAAGTTGCAATCCCGCACTGTATGTTCTGTTGTCGACATCCTATTGCATGATGGTGGTTCTGGATTTCGACTTTTCTCTTCACCAATAGTTATGCCTAGCATGCTCTTAGGAATCCGGCTCCTGACATGCTAAAGCTATTGCACAATTGTCGGAATGATTGGAACACTCATTTGTTCTCTGTGCAGGTCTTCCCTCGCTTCACGGTGCTTTTGGATCACAACCGTCGATGGTTACTGCAGGCGTACCGATACGTTATACCCGAACTTCTAAATTCAACTGTCAGTGGCTGTGTAGCATGACTGCATGGTTTTCTCAGCTTGCGTAATCCTGATACACTCCTGCTTTCGTCTCTCGTCGGTCATTCAGCAGACTCGGACACTCTTTCCGTACAGGTATGATCAACGGGAGTGATTGAAACGTCTATGCGCTCATGATCGCTTCCGATCCATACGCGTGGCTAATGCGTGCTCGCGATGCTGTGAACTATTCCAAAACTCTATCTGACCGGCGGCAGCTCAACAACTCTTTGATATTCTAGTGCGCTTTAGTTGGCTCTCCGGTCCGCGATAAGCGGAGCAACTGACTTTTGGGTTCCGTAGATTCTTCGGAGAACAGTTGAACGTGTTAACGTGACACATCTGTGGTTGCGTGGATTTCATTGTGCTATAATATGCTCGTCAATGCCGTTGATCTACGCAGCTCCTTTCGATGACGCCGTTCGTTGGCCTGTAGACCTAATCAGATAAAACGGGATCTAAGCGCGATATTCAGTGAGGCACACTTCAGGGTGGGGCTTCTATGATGCAATGCAATATCTGCGTGTACCTGAAGTCTCATCGGAAGGTATAGCACAATTCTAGGTCATCATGCAGCCAGCGGCGGGCAAAGATGGATGGCCTCCCCAGTACCGATGTCCTGGAGAGGTCGCTGATCATGAATCCCTGTCTACTTCATCTAAGTACAACGCCGGAAATTTTGTTGGGCTTATGCGGAGCATCACGCAACAATTCTGCGAAGATCATTCACGCTAAGAGTCATGCGGCGGCGGCGAATTTGTTTAAGGGTGGCAGTGGATCTTGAGATGACACAGAGGTGAGTAACGTTTCTCGCCACTTTTGTTCCCTACCAAGCGAACTAACTCGTTATAAGCTCTGATGTCATCTCAATGCCTAAATACGTTGCAGTGTATGATAAATGTCATCGATTACTGCCGAGCATACAAGCTATTGCAACCGTGGCGATTATGGCAGGTCCGTGATGTCGGTTTCTCGATGCTACCACATTGATGGGGAAAGGAATCTTATGGATATCTTTTGTCCACTGACTGCAAATAGCGCCTATTCTCAAGACGACCAACAGTAAATGAAGTGACCTGCGCGAGCTGAGGAGCGCGCCGCGATTGTGCATTAGAACCCAGACAACGGGAGTGTAACCTCAGCGAATCACGAGGGAGGTTGGCCTGTTCCCTTCGGCGGCCGGCTATGGTGGAGTTAAATGAAACCCACATGTGTTCTGTTCCCCCAGGAGGCTAGCACCTAGCGCCCCTCATGTCATCGATGGCTCACGACAGGCTTTCTCCATGAGTGCGGAGCTGACGAGAGGGTGAGTAAGTTGAACGAAATCGCTCTTCATTTTGGTTCTCTGAAGCTGAGAATGAAGTTATCAGGACATCAGCATCTATTCAAGGAATGCGAAGACATACCTTCAGTATGACCTTCAGGGGTTCCTCGCTCTGGGGAATGCCCCATGCCCTTTTTCCTCCTTCAGAGCAATGTGGGGGATCTCTCGTTTATGTAAAACGTACATCATACCGCTCGACGTAGTCGCACGCTCATAGAAAGTTCCAGGCCGGTCCTCGGCGGAATGCCGAGCTCACGAACGCAGGATCCCGTGGCCGTGCTCCAAGGTAGTCGCCGAAAACAGGAAACGAGAACAGGCCTGATCGTTCATTGGCCGTATCCTGCGAAAGGAGCTGGACGCGACCAACCCACCCGCCGGAAAAGTCTTTCTCTCCCGATTTGACGAGGATTTTCACGTCTTTCAACTTCATCCTCTTCGCCGGCGATGGCTGGAGCAGAGCACGGGAAAGAGAATATCAAGCGATAACCGTCCAGTGCCGTTTAGACATGGTGAGCACCACAGCGAGCACGTTGGTCACTTGTGGGTATCGCAGACGAGTCGGCCCTTTCCATCATGTTATGGTGAATGCATATATGTTCGATTTTTAGAATATTATATCCACAGCTCAGAAGACCGACGGTTCGACATGCTGTCTCTGGCTTTCTAGGCAACGCAACCGCTGTCGACATCACCTTTTTGAACAATCCCTTCCGAACACCAGTGATGCTTCTTTGAAGGCAACGTGAAGCGAGAAGCCTCGCTTGCGAAGAATCTCACTACGAGGGACGGACCAGCCTGCGAACGTTGATAGGAGTTAAGCAGCGTGAACCGGGCTCCCTTCGAATATGAAAACCTCAAGCGCGGGCTCTCACCGCAGGGATTGCTGCGAGAATGGTGAGAATTGAGAAGCCCGAGAAGGTATCATAGCTGGCTGCTTCCTTTTCCATCGGGTTTTTAACTTTTTGTAACGTAATCGTATGCTTGACATGCATACTTTGGAGGCCTTCATCTCACGCAATGGGGTTATTCATATGCTGAGTTCCGATGTCAACCGTTCACATCGTGTTGACGACATCAACCGATAGCACGATTCTCATATCCTATGAGAAGGGCTTGGCTTCGTGGCCAATTAATTATGCTAAGATGAGAGATATTTTAGATATCGAATGCCTCCTCGCTATTCATGGGTGCACAACAAATCGGTCCCGATAGTCAGGTCCGCTTGCTAGATAGGAGTTCCAAGTTGTCATTGCGTCTTCTGCTTGTACGGCTCAAGCACGTTCACCGGTGATTGTTCTTACTAGATCTTAGTAGTGCATATGATCTCGACTTCGAGCCTTTTCGTTCCTACGTTAGTAAGTAGGGCCACTCGATCTAGGGCTTCCTTCTCAGTCACATGCCAGTAAGATGCCACCTGTCGGCTTCCGTAGCACGCATGATACTAGCAGCATGTCTGAACTCATACCTTCCGATGTTCGTGCTACAGTACTGAGATAGCAGGCAAGTGAGGCTAGTCACCGAGAGGCACGTGCTTTGCGCATGTGAGAAATCATGTAGCTAGAATGAAAAGGCTGTCACCACACTGCTATCAGAATGGATTGATAAGAACGTCTGAAGAATGGTAGTTATGTAGGTCTGAATTCTGAACATCGGCACTTTCCCATCGTGCTGAAAGGGTCGTATCTGGTAAGTATGGTAGTACCCATGCAATGCCTCATGCTCTGAGTCCGAGCGAGTTTATCATTATAATGCTCAGCCGAATCGTGTTTAGGACGGGTTCCTTTAATTTGTATGCCTAACCTAGCTAAGAAAATAACCACGTGACCGCGTTTGCGACGTGTTCTCCGATCATTGGTCGCACTAGCCCTTGCTGTTGCTCGTGGATTATGTCGAACGAAACAAAACGTCAAGAGTGATCTTTTACGAGAAAGGCATAGTTGGCGAATCAAGTTGAATTGAATTAACGGTGCAGTCTTTGCATAGTGAATCGTGGTGATAGCCAGCTGGAGAGTTGCGGGCGGGCAGACACGTCAGCGTGACATTTGACGCGGCGATCTGCAAACAACTTTGTCCTTGAACGTTGAACGTTGAACTCTGAACTTTTCTACCACTGCATCAACACCAATCACCATGTACTGGACAGTATTGCCATCTGTGCTTCTGCCCCTCATTCTAGCCGTATCACCTCCACTGGTAACTGCTGCGTTGTTCCCTACAAATACGCAGGTGAAGATGCTGGACGCGCTGGGTTTCAGGAAATCCATGAAGCAGAATGTACGTAAGCTGCTGGAATATTCATCTCTTTGGTTATAGTACTTCGTGGTTACTCAACATCCTTGGTTGTGGAGTATATCGTGTACTGACTCGAGTCACTCGATTTCCAGTCAACTTCCGTAGTTGCTTTCGTAGCGCCGTGGTGCGGGGTATGTATGGTCTCTTTTGTTGAAATATTTCGTAACGTTAATTTGGCCGTACATTGGCAGCATTGTCAGAGGATGGCACCCGAGTACAGCAAGGCCGCCGAAGCACTCTCACCCATGGTTCCTCTTTATGCTGTAGATTGCGATCAAGATGCGAATAAACGGCTCTGTTCGGAACAGGGTGTGCAAGGGTTCCCCACAGTCAAGGTCCGGTGGATCTCACATCGCACGTTAGGAATATGCTCATGTCTCCACCAGCTGTATCCTCGTGGTGGGAAGTCCCAACCAATCAGCTTTGACAGCGGGAGCCGCACAGCCAACAACTTCTTCTATTGGGCTTCCCGGAATATTCCACATGGTGTGAAAAGACTTGAGAAAGTGGCAGATATTGCGGATTGGTCCAACAAAGTCAGTTGACTCTACCACTTTGCTTGTATGCATCATCGAGATGATATTTTCCTATCCACCAAGAATGTCGCAAAACCTCGCGCCCTCCTTTTGACGTCGAACAAGGACATCCCTCTCATGTGGAAGGCCTTGGGAAACAAATACAAGGATTCGATCACTTTCGCTATTCTATACGACAAAAGTGGAAAGGGCGCGGTGAAACTAGGTGCAGAGGAAACCGCGGATAAGGGATCCAAGGTTCTCATATACCCTGCAGGGTCACCGCATTTTGCCCGGTTCGAAGGTCACTGTCGTGCTCACACTCTATATGATCTGATAACTAATCATTCCATATAGGCAGTCAGAAATACAAACCACTTGACAAGTACCTCAAAGATGTTGTGGATGGTACAGCTGTCTTCCCTGAAGATCAATCGAAAGACGGAACTCGGTCAATGTCAGTGCCTTCGACGCCAGAAGGCCAAGAAGTCCTCCGTGCCGCGGGAGCGTCGGCGAGAGATGAAGCCACAGAAAGCTCCCCTGTATCCCCGAATTCTCCCGTTCCCAACTCCGACACCGAACCGAGCGATAAATTGGAATCTCCCACAGCGTCACCTGAAGATTCTACCATTGTGAGCTTGAACGACATAGACGGAATATACGAAGCGAAGCTAGTATCTGCATCGGCGGAAAAAGCTGGTGGAGAATCGGGGAAGAGGAGTGAGGAGGGCAATCATGCCAAGGATGAGCTGTAGATTGTATCTTTTTCACCCCTGGATCTGATATCTCTTGTACGTGTACACTATTCCAGTCGGTACCGGATACCCTCACGTGATCTAGGCTAGTAGTTACATCGTTAAGATAGGCCGCCCTACATGTCGAATGTTGATTGCCTGAGGACTCAAGCTCAAGTACTCACCGGGCCCCAACAATTTTGGTTATAACGAGCGGCTCTGGAGATAATGAGTGGTCAATATGTGCTATGTGCAACAGCATCGATGCTGGACGCGGTCGCCGTCTGGAATACAAGATGCTCATGTTTCGATGGAGAAGCCATCAAGTCTTTTCCATCTACAAATCAAAGTTAATGCGCGGCACGTTGGGATTAGCATCATGTGCGTTACTCATCTCTGTATTAGGGCATTGACGACGCTGGCATCGCCAATGTAACTACGTGTGAAACAGGGCATGTCGACGACTTCCAAGGTTGTTGGCAATTTCCTTGGCAGCTACCCTCATTGCGAGAAGACTGCATCTTTGCGAACAGAGCAATGCCACCCGCTCACCACGATTGGGCCCTGTAAGTCGGCTAAGTCTCGAATGCATGGTTGCTTACTTTTTCCTTTTCCTGCTCATCGTTTCGATCACCTGATTTCTGCTCCCAGGGTCGGGTTCTTAGAGCATGGTCGACATGGACGAAGACTACGGCAGGTCCAGATGCTCTCTTCTCTCCCTCATTTGGGGCGTTGAAATGAGTGTTCCGTGTCTTCTATGGGTACCCGTGTGTACTCTGCTCACGGCCTCGGATTGAACCAAAGTTCTGGAAGACAGGAGTTTAGCATCAGCGGCACGCTTGATCAGGTCGAGAGTGGTGCATTGTACACATGTTTCATGAGTTGGACGATGGACCGTCCTCGACCCGTCGGAAACGTGTGATACACGGCTCAAGGCTATGCTAAACCTTGAATGTCGCACAGGTCTGGTGCTAGCCTGACCGCGCCGACTACCGACTCGGATTGCACGGGATTTGGAGCAAAAAACGTTTGCACTACTTTCTCAAAATATCCCCCGAGATGGTGGCATCGTTGGTGGTGAAACATACGAAGACCAGCAGAATTACACTAGACTTTCAGAATCTGAGCCCGTCTGCCGCACACCAAATCTGTGAACATCGCGGAGCATTGGCATCCACTGGCACTTTTTCTCTGCTCGCTAAAGTGACATACTTTCACGGCCTATTTCACGGCGCCCTTCACTGTGACTGCAACGAGCAATGATTTTCCCTGCAGGTTCAGTTGGCCGGCCTGGGGCTTGAACGGTCCCTTCAGAAGCCGGGTCTCCGTGATCGCTCTTTCTTGGTTTTCGGCGCCTCTTCTTGCCACGACACACGACGTGCCCGGGCGGCCGCTTCGCATTGGAGACCAAGTGCCCTAGCAATCCGCTCTACGGACAAGTCATCTTCGTACCAAGGATCGATGGTACTTCGATAATTGCCGTAAGATGACAATCTTCCACAGCAACCGCCCTACTCGAACGTCTACAGGCTCCGCGAGGCTCTAGCAGTGTTTGTTCAAGCATCTCATCGATCTGCTCAGACGGATGGTACTCTTGGGTGATGGCCTGCATGGAAAGCGAAGGTGCGCGAGCTAATTCTCATTCATGGCTTAATCTTAGATCGCCCACATCGCCTGATCACTGCGTGGTTCGCGGTGACGACCAAATTACTCGCTGAATATTTGGCCGCGCCGCACTTATCGCCATCTTCGCTTAGGAATGGGGATGCAGTGAAGTTCAACACTTCTCTTATCAGATGTTCTGAGCTGTCACGATGTGCTCTACTAAGAAGCATCTCAGTGGCGACCCTAACGGTCGAACCGTCATGATCGTGGTTCCTGAGAGCATCTCGCTTTGTCGGTGGATCGTCTGGACTGTAGAACCGTTGCGCATGGCCGCCGAGCGGAAGCCGACATGGAGTCTGATGCATTGACCAATGATCTGGCACGTCCAATTTCGGAAGTAGAACTATCCCCGCCTTGTGCAATGTTGATCCGCAATACCCAGGATGCACACCGCAGCTTAACCAAACGCTGAAGTTTGTCGACGTTCTCACTCACTAACCAGCGCGTTCTCTCGCCCTACGGCGTCTGCCGTTTGGACTTCTCTGACACGGTCGTGGGTGCGCGGCAATAGCTCGTAAATGAAGACTTGGAGTACATCCGCTAGGAGCCCAATGCTATATAAGATCTGTTAAGCACTCAAGCTCACCAGCACCTTCCTGTCCTTCCAGTAATCTTTTAAACATGTCTACCAATCCCGGCGGCCAACAGTCCAAGTTCCGTCTCAACCCAAAGCCCACGTACAGCGAGAGAATGTCTGAGACCCGCAGCGAGATCAGACGAATCATGAGGGACGCTCTACGTGCGTGAATTTTCTGTGATCGTTTGCAAGCTTGAATAACCCTGTCTAGGTACCATCACACACGATGATGTCGCGACCATGCACTGGCCGACATACTGGAAGGACGTGGTCGCACGATACCATGTCATCATTGAAGGGTGGCCCCAGGACGTGCCCTTCAGGAACCTCAGCGACGTCTCCAACCTCGGCAAGTTGGAGCAGCTCTTGACGGGCTGGCAGAACGGCACCATTTATTTTCGCCGGCTCACCGATGCCGAATTCGCAACCCTGAGTGCGCAGCATGACGCAGCTCTTCAGGAGGGCCAAGGGGACGGGATTTGAGGACGGATGACCAGAGCGAATGACACAGGGCAGGCTGAGGCGCGGAGATGCTGGTAGCATTGAGGTGTTGGAACAGGATACCCGAATCGGCATTGGAGCGGCCGTAATCTATTATCATTTCTATGCATTGGATGTGTTGTCATTTGCAACTGTATTTATTCTGGCTCTGGTGGCAAGTGGCTGAAGGCATTTGACTATGGTAATGTATCATTAGCATCAAGGTTTGAGCAGATCTATCACCTGGCTTCCGGGCGATCCCTTCTGCATATAAAAATTGTACATCAGGTGTACCAAGTCTTGAAGTTATCTCCACATTAACCCTTCGACGAATGATCGACGAGAAAACGTCATTAAGCGGACACGCGTACTTTGAAGGCAGTATGGTACTGTTATGCGTTCGCGGGCAGCATTCTGTTCATCCAAATTCCTCGATACTCCTGATTGCCATGATCCACTAACGGTACCTTCCATGGATAGTTTCCGTGGTCCAGCGCGCGCTATATGATTATCAGATAATGCAAGCACCGATCAGCATGCCTGCGTTCATTCAAGCGGCCTGTCAGTAGGCGCACATATACATCTTGAGACCCTTACACTTACGCACAGAATTACTTCGCCGACCTCCTGGAGAGCTCTCTCCCCATTCGTGCTTCAGCATACTCGCTCCTCATGTAAGAGACGCCTCCCGAGATCACAACGAAGGAGCTTGACAGATGCCTACTGGTCAAGCGTAATCGTTGAAGAGCATATCGGATGTGCCAAGCAGGAGGTGCTCCTGGTAGTTGTAGACGCGATGTCAATTAGGTAGGAATGGTCTGACGCAGACGGCGACCTAAGTAGCACGGGGCACACAACGCGGCAAGATCACCAATATTACGCTACACAGACATCATCGCCTGATGGTTACGAGATTCGGCTCTCACATTGTGCGCTTTTGATTCCGAGATGACCGTTGGAATCCGGATACGTCCGAGAGAGTGAACGCGTTTCCTGGAGATGTTATCAGATAATCTGCCGTTCTCTCGGCCTCGATGTTCAGGTGGAGGCACCGCGGTGTCTCGGAAGTGAGTGAAACGTCCAACGCACACGGTCATGCAAGTATGGCGTAGGCTACTCGACGCAAACAGGACCACAACATTGAGCAGAGCGCGCTCAAATTCTGCACGTTCACATCAATGTCCACGCACGTAGCAAGACGGACAGGCAAAGTACTCGGGAGAAGTCATTTGCATGGGAAGGCGCGTTCTCCACGCTCAAGGAGGGAAGCTGTCTGACATATGGGCACGCGCCCGGCATATATAAATAATGAGGTCACGGACAGAAGAGCCGGCAGCTCGTAGATGGCCATGAATTGCCAAAACACTGACGGCGGACTACATGCTGACAATAGTGGATAAATTGGTGGCACGATTGACACAGCAAAATAGAAACAAGACAGAACTTGTCTAAGCAATAGCTCTCCGCCTCGGCTGCGGTTTTGTCTTCTTCTTCTTCTTCCCCTCTGAAAAGGCGTTAGCGGCTTTGAGGTCGCGTCCCAAGATATCATCCTTCTTGACTTGGTATATCCGGACCTAGAGAGGGTATATCGACTGTCAGATTACGAAATGACGTACATATCTGTTTGCAGACTCACAATCCAGTTTTCCGAGGTGAATGCCTCATCTGTGAGAGGGGCATGAGCATCGATAGGAGATTCCACCGGATAAGCGTACCTAAATAGTCTAATGTCGGCCCCACCTTTGGCATCTGCTGGCCACGGACGCGGTCCAAAGCTTGATTGCCGCCAAACAGTTCAGCAAAGCTTACCGCATCTATTCAGTCATGCATCCACAGAAGTCTAAGAGGGCAGCCAACTCACCGGTAGTAAGACATCCTGTACATCAGACTGTTCTTCATCGTTGGTGATGCTTGGTCGTCGACCCTGTACTCCCCGTTAGCCGTAAAGTAGTTCGGCTCCTGTATTTCGTCCGGCCAAACGCCTTGGGCAATGCGAACCATCCACAAGAATTTGTTGATGTCGTCTCCAGAATACCCAAGCAGGCCACCGAAGATGACCAGGACATAGTCGACGTCATGCTTTCGCAGGATCGGATAGGCGACTTCCTCGCTGCTCGACATTGCCTTCCCTACGGTGGCAATGTGCGCTGGAATATGATGTGTGCGTCATTAAATCGCAGCCAATAGATGACAAAGACCTACTGTTATTCCATGTATTGTTGTCGACCAAAGTCGGCCGATCAGCCATACCCGCAATCTGATATCCATAATCCCACCAGCTCATGACCACCGCGGTCTCTGGTGTATTTTGCCTGAGCCAGTAGTATGCCTCACGGAAATCATCGATAATGTGTTGACTACCATCCTGGTTTGTAGTAGCCAAGACGACTGATGGCGAAGAATATGCAGTCGACGTCACGTACGTGCAGTGAAGCACGAAGAAGAGCAGCATGCCGATAGCATTCAGGATTACAGCACCGCGAGTGTCAAGACCGAAGATGCCGTGTGGTTTGTTATCTTTCTTAGATGGAGAGGCGACTGCAGTAAGAGTGGAGAGCAGGCCGTCAAGCGGACCGTTCCGATGTACAGGTGGTGCCTTCTTCGCCTTCTTGCTGGAGGCCGTAGCACTGGCGGAGCCAGCTGAGACGGCAGTAGAGCTGCCGCTGACGCTGTCACCATCGTCGTCGTCTTCCACGGCATCCGGCTCTGTGGGATCCAGATAGGTATCTAGCAATGACGAGAACGCAACGGCGGCAGAGACGCAGACCACGGGCGTGAGTGTGAGCATCAGCCGGACCATTACGCCGGCAAAGTAGCTGGCAACAACCGCATAGATGATGACGAAGACATGTTCGTCACGCAGCTCACGGAAGCACAGTATAACGCCTGCAGGGAACAAGAATATTAGGAGCTGCAGATCCATGAAGAACGAGGGCCAAGCGGTGGGCTGATGCTCCGAGACAGACGCGATGATCGGGATGTACCTGCGATGGTCAGCGGTGAGCAAAGTACACAGTGAAGGCGGAAGACCAGCTTCACTTCTTAGCATAACCCGTGTCCCACAACGAGTAGAAACGTCCCGTCCACGGCGCGATCCACCCCTTGTACGTGAGTCCGATGATCGCCAAGGCTCCGAGTATGCCCATTGCAACGACGGAGGCATAGAGCAGGCTTTGAAACTGCTTTGATGACACATGGCTGCGTACCAGCTCAGCGAAAGCGACGATCTGCAGCAGTCCAAAGACACCTGATGATGGTCCGGATGAGCTCCGACGGTGTGTGGTAATTGACAATTTCGGTAGTACCAACCTAGGGCCGCCATGTGTTCGCTAGTGCGTACCGGTTGGAAGCCCACGAATGGGACTTGCATGCTGGCGAGCGTCCCGATGGCGTACCACGAGGAGTATGCTACGTACAGGCGGCTGCTGAAGCGGCCCATGAGGATCAGGGCGAATGCATGGAGGGGGATCATGTTCGTAATAAATGCATATCCGCCTGCAAACATCCCGTCAGACGTAATGCATTGAAGCGCTGCGGTTCACTTACCCCAGGCCGCCACCATGTAGAAATAGAACAGAGCGGCTAGGGTGCCGAAAAATGCACTTCCAGTCTTGAGCGCCTTGATCCAGAGGAAGAATGTGAACATCAGGAGGAAGATGGCAATGGCCTCATTGTCATAAGATCCCGCGACGGATCGGGAAATATAGCCAGGAACAATACCGATGAAGGCAGCTGCAAGGAGGCCGGCACTTTCGTCCTTCAGTTCCTTGGTAAACCTAGCATCCCTCCGGTCAATCTCCATTTCAACCAAGCGCCTGCCCTCAGGAGACGTACATGTATGTGGACCAGGCGGTAAGTGCACTAAACCCTGGTGCGAGTAGCACACAAATGTTCCGTATGTCCACAGGAAGGTTAAGCGCATGAAGCACGTTGTATATTACGCCACTAGTTGCCATAAGACCGGGATAGATTGTGCCTCCAACAACACGGCCCAACGGGTACCATGCCGTGGGGTCAAACCAATTCCAGAATTCCTATCATCCCAAGTGAATAACTTCGTTGACATTGCAGTCAAAGGGCACCCACATAGAATCCTTGTGATGCTATGACTTTAGTTGCCCGGCTAAACGACGTATTACGTTTGGACACGTTTTACATCCAATACGGAACGCTTACTAGTTAAACCACGGGTCACTAGTTTGTCGCGTCAGCTGAGACAATGGCTGTCCTCAATACATGTGGACGTACAATTCGTGTATGACACTCTCAAAATTGACGACAGCGAACAAACGTGACGCAATACCCGCAGCAGAGATGAGCGCGAGTGCCACGATTCGCAACAGGGAGGAGGTGTTCGCGACGGTCGTCGGAGACAAATCCGACGCCAGCGAGTATGCCATAGGCATGGCTGCTAGTTGACGACGCAGAGAGCGTCGACGGGGGGCAGCAGGATGTGCAGAAAGAGAGACAAGGAAAGGATACAGCAAGCTCAGTGGGCCCGCAGTCGCGTAGACTTGGCAGACACGTCGCGCGTATGCGGGCTGCTTAGTCATCAGCCTCTACGAATTTTCACGTGACTGGCGTCTGTCTTTAGCGCCCACGGCCACTTTTGTCACTACCCTGCAACTCCTCCCTTGATACTGTTACAGAAGCTACTCCATTTGAGCCTTTCTGCTATCTGGGCCAGCACGTCCTACTCAGGGCACCTCTAATTGACTATACCACTGCAATCTGTTAGGCCGAAATGTCTACTTCACGGGACCGAGTTGAGGATACCTATGAGATGCAGAATGACCAGAGGCTCGATGAGCTGCATTCTAAGTTACGGTCATTACGCGGAGTATGCTTCATCTCTGTTGACTTCTCCCGCTCAGCTCACTTCAACATCACAGGTCACGACAGATATCTATGACGACGTTGAGCGGCAAAACACTACGTTAGACGAGACAGTGAGCCTCAATTTCTCAGATGCATCTCCCGTATAGCTGACAGCCGTGCATAGCGAAATTCCTTTGCCTCCTTTGGTGCTTCACTGGTGCAATCATCCCGACGTGCCTCACAAGCGTTCGGGATTGGTTCTGGTGGCGTGAAGCAGTGGCGGACTATCGGCTACTGCATCGCAGCCTTCGTGGCTCTATGGATTTTGTGGAAGGTGTTCCGATGGTTCTGGTGGACGCCAAGTCCATGAGCTGTGCGCTGAACGTTTCTCTTCTGGATACTGGGTGATATTGGATGCACGTCTGGAACCTAGGACGACGACGAGCAGATATTGTATGGTCGCATAATGTAATTTATTGCGTTCACAGGACACGTAGTTTCTCAATTGTATACTAGGAATTGATTGTCAGTCTATATCACAACTGTATATTGTACGGGCGCCACAGTCGCGTGCGGTGGCCCGAATGGAGATGGTCATTTGCCCACACCGACGCCCGCGGTCGCCACTGCTTTCAACTGCGCAGAGTCCCTACCTAACGCGCACGTTGCACGATTCTCAATTCGCCACATCTACATTCGTGCAAAGGCACACTCCTTCCACTCAAGCGCAAACAGTCATGTCAGACCGGGATGTATTGCTATCGATGGGGTTCGATCCCGCCCGTGTCGACTGTGCGTAGCATGTGCACCTATTCGCACTCATCATGTCTTCCAACATCTGTCTAAATACGGAGCACAGGGGCCTTGAAGGCAACCAACAACCGAGGTCTCCAACCCGCAATGGACCACATACTCGAGAACGACGGCAAGCCCGTCCCAGATCTCTCCACCGTGTCCACGTCCAGCGCACCCGCTGCAGGAGCGGGAGGTGCAGAGCATGAAGAAGATGAGGAGGAGCTGGAAGCTTTACAAGCTGTGTACGGGAAGGCGAATATTGCTCCCGCAGTGGACGGCGGCAGTGCTGGTGCTGAGGCTGAAGCGAAGGTACGCTATCATTCGGCGCGTAGTCCATTCGATTCGATCCGTTTTCTCTTCGTCGTGTGCCATGCCTCTGATGATTGATCGTAGAGCATCAAATGCTCAGTCTGCGGCAAGACATTCAAGAACACCGCAGTAGCAAATTACCATGCAGAGAAGAGCGGTCACGACCAGTTCGAAGAGTCTGCAGAAGAGGTTCGCGCCATTCGTATCCTCGCTCGTAGCGTGTCTAATGCGAGAACGCTTACTGGCTTGTTGCAGATCAAACCGCTCACGGAGGAAGAGAAGCAGCAGAAGCTCGCAGAGTTGCGCGAGAAGATGGCCGCAAAGCGTGCCGCCAAAGCGAAGGAAGAAGCCCAAGAGAACCTCGCTAACGAAGCCATCCGCAGGAAAGCTGGCAAGGTTCTTCACACCTCTACCATTCATCCTACCAGAACTTGACATCATCTCATCCAGGACGTGAACGAGCTGCGCGAAGAGATCAAGGCCAAAGAGCTCATGAAGGAAGCCGAGGCGAAGCGCAGAGGTGCGGACCCAGTTCCCATCCCGAACGCAGCCCACACGGACTCACACCTTCATATACGCACACACGCACAAAACACCCGCCTTTGACTTGCAGAGAAGCTGGAAGACGCGAAGGCACGTGCGGCGATCAAGGCGCAAATCGAAGCCGACAAGAGGGAGCGAGCGGAGCGCGCTGCCCGGGAGAAGGCTCTGCGCGAGGGCAAGCCCGTACCAGGCAGCTCGGCGCCTGCTGCTGTTCCCGCCCCCGCCCCCGCCGCTAGCACCGCGCCGAAGACGGCAGGGAAGGACTACCCTGAGACCCGCCTCCAGATACGCATGGCGAGCGGCGGACAGCCGTACACGACCACGCTCCCGAGCGATGCGAGTGCGTCTATAATCCTCCTGTTCTCACTGGCTGCGCGAAATGACTGACGTGGATGGCCTCACAGCACTCCGCGAAGTGGCCGAGTTCCTCGCAGCGCAGACACTCTCGGTCGACGTGGAGACCGTCAACTTCACCATGTCCTTCCCAAGGTGCGTCTGACATCGCTTGAGCGCGCGTATGCATGGCGTCGGTGCTGATCAATGTGTGATCTCTTCAGGAAAACGTTTGCACGCGCCGACTTCTCACGGACCTTGAGAGAGCTTGGCTTGACGCCGTCGGCTGTACGTACGATTATTGCAAGCATATGGGTGCATTCTGATCCTCGTTCCTAGGTTTTGATCGCATCATGATGTGGCCGACGAGATTTCACATACCAAGAGGACTCTATCAATAGCATTGAATTGCTGTCATTGCAGATGTACCAATATGGATCTTATACAAGCATGGAGGCACCCGGATACTCCTTGTACTTTGCGGTTCGCACTTTGCGATTAAATGTTCTGCACACCTTGCACAGGATGTGACATCATCAGGGATGGCACTCTCGTGGGATAAGATGCCCCTGACTGTTTGCAGATGTTCGCGAAAGCAAATCAATATGAGCCCAGCTGCAGCCAACCTCATGATTGAGGACTGATTTCAGGTCAGGTTGCATCTGTCGCCCATTGGCTTGCAGTCGAACTAGCCCGATCCTTCCTGTGCGGAGAGGACCTGTGAATCACAACATGGGAACAGCATGCCACCCACATACAAGTGTGCACGGCTCAATAAGTATCGTGGCATACTTGATCAGACAACTGCAGAGCAGCTGCGACATCGGAATTCGCTTGTCGTACGATACATGTGGACAACAAGTAGGCTGCTCCAATGTCTCCAAAGCATTACTGTCCCATGATAGCATACAATACAGATAGGGATAGCACAAACCGATCCAAACTCGTCAAGGGATACATATATCGGCTGGTCAGGATATCGGACAATATATGTCAGGGAGTCAGCAGAAGACATTATCAATCTGAAACGACAATGTCAATAAGCGAAAGGACTGCCATTTACGCGATGATGTGCCCACCTACCTAAGAAGTAATATAATAGATACAGCAAGTGTTCGTTAGATGATGAAATCGCGTTATGGAGCAGCCGCAGGCTGGCCAACAGCGTCCCTGGCCTGTGCTTGCACTGGCTGCGACGTAAGGCGCGCGGCTTTTACCGGCACTGAATACCGTCTCGGTTTTGGTCTCTCCGCCATCGACCAGTCGAGCCTCCGTCGCTCAGACGTCGTGCCGCGGAGCGCGTTTGAAAGATCGTCCGGCAGCGGATTCGTGCGCGATCGTGGCTGCAACGACTTGACGCGTCGCGATGCCTGCTGTCGTTCGTGTAGCGTTTGGTAATCCATGTCGTCTTTTGATCGATGCATGATGAGTGGGGGTATGATAGTCCGGTCGAATCCAGGTGACGGGATGGTGGGGTTCGGTGATGGGGCAGGCACCTCTGTAAGTCGGTGAGACAGATGTTCCTACACCTCAAGGGAAGATCAATGGAACCTACCCAGGGTGTTCCTCTTTGGTGCGAATTGCGGAAGAGGAGGGGGCAGGGTTGGGCTTACAGCTGCAGCCGTCGCCGGCGTTGTCGGCCTCGTTTCTGACAACTCCAGGAACGAGCCGCCCTTGTATCCCACTGTATCTATGTGAATGATGGGGACCCGCGGGACGCCTTCTGAGCTGGAAGCGGCCCGCCGCACGCTGTGACTCCGGCTCTGCGCTCTGCGCAACGGTCCAGATGGCCGCTCGCCCGAAGCAGACGGCGTTCGTGCAATCCTCAGGCTCGCCCTCGACGTACGCACGCTTCGTCGGCGTGCGGCTTGCACACGATTCACCCTGTCAGCTACCGGTGGTGGAGGCTGATTGTACTGCACATTCGCATACGTCGCCTTGCTTGCGACTGCAGTCGCGGTGACTCCAACGACCTGAGCGAGCTGTACGCTGCGCTCCGTGACGGAATCCCCAACGAGCACGCTCCGTTCTGTGAAGGCGTCGCCCACCACAGCGCTGACATCATCGTACTGCTCGTCTGGATACCCAAAGTCGAAGTTGTCGAGGTCGTCCATCTCCTGTGCCATCTCCTCCGCGACCTGCCAAGCCTCCTCAAGCTCCTCCTGCAGCTCTGAGATCTTTGATCGAGCCTCCTTCAGCTCCACAGCGCGCTTCCCGTATGATGCATTGAGTTTCCTGAGCGCCATTGCCAGCGCAGACGCAGTGTGGACATCCTGAATCCGCTGGATCTGTGCGCGCTGGTCTGAAATCGTGAGCAGAGTTTCCATGAGCCGATCGCAAGCAGCGGTAACCTCGGATAACTGCGTTGTCATATTCGCCAGCGCTTCGCGATCACCTGCGTCCGTAGAGTCCGCAAATGACAGCACATTCAGCGACTGCAGCAACATCATCCGCCTCTGCATATTAAACCGGTACTGCGCTTGCATTTTCGCCCTAAGCTGCGATAGCCGTGAGCACACTTGGAACGACGCATATGGAGAAAAATGGGAGCGAACCGATTCTAAGCGCGTGACCTCCTCCGCGATCTCACCCTCTAGTACATGCAGCGGCATTAGGCGAATGAAGGACTCCTGCGCTGATGCTTTGATGGCAGTCGAAACAATCTCTTGCAGTTGTTTGGACGTAAGACTCCACTGAGCAGCTTGGAGGGTCATGCCGCGCCACAGGACAGGCGTCGAGTCGAAATTCACGGACGGTGGAAGGATCAACGTCGGAATCTTCCTGATAATCTTCACCGCTGGGGAGGCAGGGGTGGGGATACGTGCCGGCGGAGGATCTCCTCCTGCAGTTCCATGCCTGAAGTGTGTGCTCGAAGTACTCTGCCGTGATGAGCCAGATTCTGATGCAGCATCCTGAGAGGGAGTCCAGGTTGAGACGCGTGGACTCGAATATGCCGGGGTCGCTTCTTCCAACATCGTCTTACCCAAATCGACAGGTACAACGGCAGCCTTCTGCGTGGACTTGGGATTGCGGGGGCCCATTGGAGGTGGCGGGCGAGTGCGAACCGTTCCTGTAGTTGGTGATTGGACTGCGGGCGGCCGCGCTGGAGAGAAATCCATCGTTGCGTCGAAAACAAGCACGCAGAACCTGAACCAGGAGGAGAATTAGGCGGACATGAGAGTCGGAGGACAAGCCGTCAAAGCCGTGATGGAAGGACTGATGGACAGACTACATGAGGAGTTAGTGAGAGACGCCCAGTTATCATTCCCGGCGGAAGCGAGCCCCATCACGTAAATGAGCGGCCAACAATCTTGATCTGCAACGCTTGTGGCATCAACGGTATATGCGGTTGTAGAAAATTAATTGCAGTGCCAGCGAAGTGCAGGAAGAAGTCCACTTGGCTCGGAGGAGAGAAACAAGGATCACCATTTTGGTAACCACGTGACCATGTCTTCCCGAGTGCTGTGCCACCAAGACTAAGTTGAGAAGTCAACGCTGTTGTAAATCGTCCCGTCTCCTGATTACGATTGTCGTCAATACTGCGTTTCGACGAGTCTGGTATCGCGGCGGCCGCGAACGTAGACGATGTGCGCTGCTGTGCGCCACCAACGGGTCGAGTCGCTGTCGAGCCTCCCCAGTCCCGAACTGACTGGCTGTATCTCGCCAGCGTCCCTCTGCAATAATACTCCAAGCAATTTTTATTCACATCCTTTCATTCAATATACTTGTCAGAACAGCTCCTAGTGGATACCAGGTTCAAGGATGCCGATTACGCACAAAACTTTGTGTATTCTTCTCTCATCGAGTGGCTGGAAGGCGAACAAGCATACTACGTGTTTAAAAGGATGGAAACACCCATACCGACTCGGGACGACTCGACAAGTGGTGTCGCGGTCAATGACTAGTGACCAGCGGCTGATCAGAGATGTGACGCGCCGCTTTGCAAGTATATATACTGCAGGTAATCTCATCAACGTCCGCGATAATGAGTTCATTAATCCAAATAGGCAACGCCAATCCAAGCAGCAGCTTGAAGAATTCAATGCATCGGGCAATACGTACATGACTAAAACTCAAAAGAAAGCCTGAATGCGATAACGCCTTCCATCAACGCAAACAGACTCAGACGTTCAAATAAGTTGTTCTTCCTGAGAGGAGGATGGAGTGACGGTTGCCCGCGATCGTTGAGGACGAGATCGATGAAAGAGCATAGGTGCGTGGGCCGGAGTTATGCGCGCGCCGTCCGGGATGATCTATCGGTATTTGTAAGTTGTCGATATTCGACAGTACGCAGACACTCTGAAGATGACGTGAAAACGCAGTTGTGAGCCTATGGTAGTACAGCTTGACAAAGCAAAGAAACGGAACAACACGTATAATGCTACACACCACCTACCAAAAACAGACCGGAGCAAAGTAGTAACGAAGTGCTGTGGACTACCCACAAAACACACCATGGAACCCGATCGGGAATACCGTGTCCATCTCCGCACGCGCCACCTCCCGCATCTTCCGTGCGTCCAGGATGACCAGCCGACTCTGCACCGCACGCTCGTCCAACACCACGGTCAGCAGCACGCCATCATCTTCGCCCTCCTCCCCCGGCGCTGCGCCAGGCCGCGGGACAAAGATCGGCTCGCTCGGCGTGCCATCCGGCACCTCCCAGACCTTCGTGCCTTCACCACCGGCAGCGCCGGCAGCCATGTCGAGCTTGATGAGCGCATCCGACAGAGTGTGGCGGCCGGGAATGTGCACCTTGTGGATTCCATACGCGAAGCGGTACGGCCGGTTCCGCACGCGCGGCGCGACAACAGGCAGCTCGATGTTGCGCTCGATCGGGAAGGTATATTCGACCACCGCGTCTCGCGTGCCGGATTGCGGAGGAGAAGAAAGAGGCGCGGGTAGCCGGAAGCGCCGCGCACGGGCGTACGTGAATGGGGTAGTGAGCGCGCCGAGGTCGCGCAACGAGGCGTACTTGGTGAGCTCGATGATCGTGTTATTCGGGTAGACGCTCATGTCGATGACGACGTCGCCTGTGGCCGGATCGTCGAATGCGTTCAGGTGGTGGAAGCAGAAGAAGGGCTGGGTCTGTGAGGATGTCAATCGGCTGTCTGGTATTAAGCGAAGCGGACACTCACCTTGTATATCGCGATAACACCGCCGTTCATGCGGTCAATGACGTAGATGAGCGTATCGGCGGTGGGATCCCAGTCGGTTGTGATGGACTGGGCGAGATTCTTGTTGAGGAGGATCGACATACCGTAGCTATTTATATAATCACAGCGCATTAGCAACCGAATATCGGCGCAGAATATCTCAAGGCCCGGGGGATGGACAGAATATATATCCAGGAGAAGGTATACAGAACATCTTTCAAGGAAGAAAAAATACAAAATATGCTGTATCCCAAGGAAGGGATAAAAGAGAATCTCAAGGAAAAGGCAGAACTTACTGCTTGTAGTAGGCTTGCCAAACGCACAACACGATAAAGCGCTCTGTAATCGCAAACGAGTGAATGTACGCCGGCGGGGCATCCTTGATCTCTGCCAGGATATCAACTCCGCCGTCATGCCCACGGATACAGAAGACTTTATACGTCGGGAATCGGCCTGCAAACTTGCAAACAAAATTGTAAAAGTCCCCTGAGACGGCATCCCGACATGCATGTGCGGCAGCCAAGACACCATCCAAACGAGAATCGAGCTGACTGTAGGTCACCTGCGCCAACGGGTCTAGTGTCTCAGGATCGAGGAGCTGCAACCTGTCTGAATCCGTCTTTGCGACGAGATATCGCGGTGTCATGGGCGATTTCGCAGCAGATGGGGAAAGAATCGGCAGACCCTTCGTGACTGCATTCCAGCCAGGCATGTCGGGCGTGAGGGTGACGTTGACGTTCCGCCCACTGGGTCCTAATGCCCCCGATGCTGCATCCCAGACGGAGAAAAATTTGCGGAAGAGGCTCTGGCATGGGTCACGCTGCTGACCAAAGGAGTACCCTGGAAATTCGCCAGTGTCAGCGATGTACCGCTCGACATCTTCGGCGCCCTTGCGGGAGCGGTAGGAGACGCGCTGCGTTTCGGAATGGATTTCGAAACGGTGGTGCATAGCAAGCCCGTCAAACCAGTGGTGAATATCGACGACCTTGGAGGGGTCCGCGGTCCTGGGAATGCGAGTAGTGCCCGGCCCTGTGCGATAGAGAATACCGCTCAGCCAGGACGGGATCTCACCGTGGACTTTGAGATCGACAGGCTCGCGCTGTTCTGTGGCATTTTCAAAACCAGGAGCACAGCTACTCATTATCGAACGAGCGTGAGAGCAGGCTAGACAAAAGTTCAGTGAGCAGAGCCGCGGAAGACACGACGAGATGGAAAGCCGGGCTCGCATAAGAACTCGAAGAGGTGAACTCGAAGAGGTGATGGCAGTTCGGAACACCTCGGAGGTTCTTAGCGCTGACCATGCTGAGTAGGCTCTCCCTACAACGTCGGCAGCGGTGAAATGAATTTCTAAAGGGCATTTGGAACGGGAAACCGGAAATATTGTCCAATCCAAGCGGGGAGATCCCAGAGAGCGGTTAATGCACTATATACGTATGTATGGCCCTTACATTCGCGGAAGTGGCTCGGAGCCAGTCCGGATATCCGTCCGCATTATCTTGTACAAATCAATTTAAAGGGAACAGCCGTTAAGTAGTTGTGTGTAATAATACAAGCACATGGCAAAATTGACAGAGCGTAACGGTAAGACGCGCGGCAGCTACCATCCAAAATGACTAACCCAACAGGTCATTTAAGGCCTCGCCGACACCAGAAACCGGATTCAAGAATCCGAAATGTGTGCCCGGGAACTCGTGCAAGTCCACCTTGTCCGTCCATTTGTCCAAATCAAATGCCTCCGATACTCCCTGTGCGTGCGTATTTGTTCTGATGCCATTTCGCGCCTTCATCAGCACTGTGCGCTCGGCCGGCCACACTAACCCATCCAACGCCTCATCTCGTTCGCGTCGCTCCATTTCCATGCTTTCGCGGATGCCCATGAGCAGATGAGCAACATACGCCTGACAGAATCTCGCGACCCATTTGTTTCCCTTGTGCCTATGCTCAAAGTGTTCCTCGAACTGCGTGCGGACATCCTCTGCTCCGTCAATCGCTCCACTCGCCGCCATATCCTTCACGACCCGCATAATCTGAAAGCGCATCAGTATTTGCACGTTCTAAGAGCGTATTACGCTAGCACTCACGTTGTCCGCCATGGTCCCATCCATAATGATCTGACGCGTGTGCTCTCGCATCTCGGGCCGAAGGAATAGGGTGGGTGCGCCGTCCAACATGATCAGCGTCTCCACCGTCTCTCCGTCAGCGCGCAGCATTTGCGCCATCATGAGTGCCACCGCGGTGCCTGACGAGAAAAACACATTAGCTACGGAACCCAAAAGAAAATGAAACAATGAAGTTGAGCATCGCACCAAAAGAGAACCCGCCAACACGGTATGGCCCTGTGCATTGCTTCTGCTTGATCTTCCCTAGGTAGAATGTCGCCAGGCGCTGCAGGGTCCCCGTAAGGGGCGCCTCGGGCGTATCTTGCACTCCATATACAGGCACTTGGATCTTCTGTGCAATCTTGCGCAAGACAAGGACACCGCCTCCTGCACCGTGAACGAGGAACACAGGCAAACCGTGTTTCGCATCATTGAGACGGACAATCGTCTCATTCATGTCGTCCTCGATAGATGCTCCGTCAGCGGAGGAAGCTTCTTCTCCATGGGGGGTCGATCTTTGGGTCTCCAAGGCAGCCGCCTGCTCTGATTGCATCAATACTAACTTCTGCACTAAAACACGACAAAGAAGGTTAGACATAGCCCACTTGTGAAGCCACGATGCAGTAAGGCTTACCTGTCGTATAGCCGCTGAGCAATTGAAGCTGAGTCACGTCTAGGTTGAACTCTGTTTTGAGGATTACCCTGAGACGCGCAGCGGTGAGAGAGTCAAGGCCATAGCCAGATAGAGGAATTGTCTCTTCGATCTCATCCACGTGAAGCGAGAGGACCTTTGCACAGGCTGCTCGTATTGTTCCCTCATGCGATGTGCCCAATGCCATAGGTCCGTCCATACCTTTGGTAATCAAGTGACGTATGAGCGATTGAGTCCTCGCAGGGGCCAATCCAGCTAGTCGGGCAGAACATATCCCAATTCCTCAGCGTTGTGAAGAGAGTCAGAGGTGATTTACGTACATTCAAAAAGCATCTTCCAGTCCACTGCAGGAATATATACCGCATTGCGCGGTTTGGTGCCCAGAGACAAAATTGCGTCGATGCATTGGTGGACTACCTGTCTCGTACTGACACCGAAAGACTTGTACTGAAGTCTCGGTATTCAGCGACTAATCATATTCTCAACGCTAACGCGAATTCTGCACATACCTTCTCTAGTGCGGCTTTCTGGGTGCCGGCAGGTCGCGTGCTACGTGCCAGAATGCCAGCATCAAGCTATAGTATAAACTACTTAGAAAAGCTGTATGGCTGGAGAACAAGCGCACCTACAATCGGTGGCACAGCTATGGACACCGTGTTTGGAAGTCCAGCTCCGATCATTTCCATCTGAAACTGTGCAGCCGTATAGTTTGCTTGCCCTGATGCCCTCACGTCAGCGCTTGAATTGGTATGGCTAGTGCAGAATTTTACCTGCAGAGCCACCAAGAGCGGATATAGTACTCGTAAGCACAAGGAAGTCTAGTGATGCAGGGTCAACCGCCTCCAACATCACCTGCAGTCCCTTCACTTTGACATCATACACTAAAATTCGGACGGACATCAGTTGAGTTCCACAAGCAAGAGACGAGAAGCTTGCTCAATTTCCAGTCCTCCTCCGCCTTCAGGTTAACAAAGAGCCCATCATGCAACTTCACGGGAAGAAAGAAGACGCCAGCGACTGGGTGGTTGAGATTAGAAAACAGCTCCTTGGTCTTCTCTGCATCCAGACAGTCCACCGAAGCAATGTCCACAGTGACACCGGGGAGTGCACGAAGGTAATCAACCATCCTTTTCTCCCGAATAAGCTCCACATTCTCGAAAGCCTGTTTCATAGCAAGGTACGATGTTAGCGTAAACCCACAATCCGTTATTTCACACACAACTCGCCTTTGTCCCAGATCTCGAGGTCAGAACAACATGTCTGGCTCCGTTCTCCACCAAACATCTGGCCATACTGACGCCGAGCCCTCCGACGCCGCCGATCAGGACGTAAGATGCACGCGGATTGAAAGCGGCTGTCCCAGCGATCACGCCTCCTTTGGTGATCGGGAGTTCGGGATCAATGCTTTCCAGGCCCAGCAGAATGACGTTATTTGGCGGATCAGAGTGTGATTTTGCAACCGCAATTGAGAACTGGCTGAGATTAAAAACCTCCACCGAAGTAAACAATGAATCACGGATAGCAGGAGGAACATCCTCCAAGCGCCGAAGGAGGAATTCATCTTCAACCAGATGAGTCCAGTCAACGGAGACGTATCGCTGGCCACGACGAAGCCGGCGAGGCAGATCTCCGATTTGCACGAGGGTGCCACCCGCTGCCATTATCTGCATTGTCTCCATGCCCACGCTCGGATCGATGTCGAAGCTGACAACAAGATCCACTCCCTTCGGCGCCCACTTGCGTGCAGCCTCGACCCAGCTTTGGTAGTCGCTAGACGCGTACACCGGTCTGAGGCTGGAAAAAGATCGTGCGCTGTGAGGATCCGACACGTTTGTCAAGGTGACCAGGACTTCAAAGTTTGTAGCCTTGAGATACGAGTAGGTAGTGGTCGCAGCGGCCGAGCAGTCGCCAGCGTGCAGAATAACAAGACGCTGTCCGTTCGACGGAAGTGCCTTCATGATCACTGAAGACAAGAAGGCCAGACGCCCGACCAACGCCGCAGCAACGGACAGAGACAGATCGTCCGAGATGACAGAGACTTGGGATCGAGGGCAGATGACGACACTCCCGCCGTGTCCAGACACTATGCCAAATACCCTGTATGTCCGTTGAACTCTGGCTCAGTTTCGCAATCAAAGATTTCCTTACCGTCTTCCGACGAGTTGGCATTCTTGCTTGAGACCTTCCCCGACCGCAGTCACGACACCCGAGAATTCTGAACACCCAGCGAATATCGAGGAAATGGACACGAAAGAAACCGCCACTTCGACATCTCCAGGAAGTAGCTCTGGTGGATACTGTCGCCAAACTTGCGTTTCACTAAATTGGACTGCCTTCGATCCTCGAGGTTCGGTGATAGGGGACATTGGAGTTTCGACAACCCGAGGAACACTCATGGAACCCAATTCATCGATCATCAGCTCTGCATGCACCATCTTGAGAGGGATAAGTCTCTCATGGATGAACTCCTTTTGCCGAGATGAATCCCATGAAGGGTGGAACAACACAGTGAAGATCTTCCAAGCGGAATATTCGTGGCAAAGTGTCCGAGACAGTCCCAGCAGGGCGGCATTGCTGGGCCTTGTATCTGTGTGGAGCCAAAGGGAGTAAGGTTCCGTCGAATCGAGGCTGGACAGGAATGTAACAAGATCAATTTCACCACCGGCATGGAAGTAGCGAACGATAGTGAAGTCGTCGTATTGGAAGCAAGACGAAATCTTCGATGATTCGTTCATCACGCGTGTCGAGAGAGAGGCTTGCGATATGAAGGCGATATGCCCGACACAATCGCTGATTGAAGAAAGGAGGATATGATCGTTGTAACCAGCTGATTGCAATGCAGCCGTCCAGTGTGTTAGCGACAGCCAGGAGCGAGTCGGTCCCTGACGTTCCTCATGGATTCCCACCCACCCATCGAAGCACCCGAAGACGAAGTTCATCCCTAGAGAGGCGGAAGTTAGACAAGTACGAAAGACAATGAATGCACCACCTTACATTTAGTACCAATCGCAGACGTTGCAAAAGAGTTGCCATCCAATTCGATCGCTGCAAGGTAACCACCGAGGACAAGCATATCCCGAAGGTTGGCAAGGGTCCCGCGAAGGTCAGAACTACCATGCAGGGCATTCAACGCTACAACAATATCGAAACTCGCGGGCTCGAGTGCTTGCTCTTCAACTGGGATAGTCGGGTCAAAGACTAGAGAGGTCATCGTCATCCACGGAGATTGCACAGTTGCCTTCTGAGCAAAGAGGATGTCGGTGTCGCTGCAGAAATAGTCGACGTAATAACCAGGGCCCAGCGCAGCATCTACGAGTGCCTGGCCGAGAAGCTTCGTGAGACGGCCTTGTCGAGCACCAATCTCCAGGACGCGTATAACACGTTTTCCAGCGGTGATTGCGGCATTGACGAGGTCCACGAACTGCATCGCAAATTTGTCGAAGATTGAGCCTACGAAAGGTGGACTCTCGTAAGCCTGGTTTATGATATCATCCTGCAGGAGCAGCTTCGACGCAGCTTGGGTTGAGGTCAATAGGTCTTAACCCAACTTTAGTAATTTGACTATAGCAGAACTAAAATTGCTTGCCTTTCTGACTCTCACCGACTCGGTGTGTCAACTGCAAGACATCTTTGAACTGAGTTTCCACAGACACGCCAATGCGAGGTGATACTGGGATATCAGAGCTGGCGTTGGCAATCAAATTCTTACACCAAGCCAGATAACGTTTGCTGTCAGCGCTCTCCGGGGTAAAGTCCTCCGGGACGCGACTACACAGCGTTCGCTCAGTCAGTCCTCCTTCCCAACAGAGGAACACACTAACGTCAATGTAGCGCTGGTATACGAGACAGCAAGTTCATCCAGGGTTCTTAAGAGTTCGACAGTGTCTGATTCTGGGGTGGGTCCTTCCACGGCGATTAAGCCGCGTAGCTGTGTGGGTGGCAGAGCGTATGGTTGCCAATGTGTTGCGAACCGAGTAGAGGGCAAGAAATCTTCTTGTGAGACCCATGTGAAACGGAGTCCTGCGTCCAGCTCGATATAAATTTTGGAGGGATATAACATCGTTACTGACGCTTACCTTCGACCGTGAACAGAACAGACCCCTCATCATCCAAGATATATGCATTGACAATCCAATGGTGGGGCGTCCATTCAGCCATCACAGCGTATGCTCGGAATTCAGCAGGCAAGACAAGGGGTTCGATGCTTCCGTCATTGCGGAAAGCCCTCTTTAGCGAGTAAGGCAACTGGAGGCAAAGACAAAACGTAAGTCGCCAACATCTTCCGACATGTGAATTCAAATAGCGAAAGGGACGCACAAAGATGCTTTCGTTCTGACTTCCGTCGTTCAACATTTTATAGACCTATAAGCCAAAAGTCAGCGAAAGGTTGAACGAAGAGCCACATCACTTGCCAAGGCCCAGCCGAGAGCCGACTTTCATAATGTTGATCAGATACAGAATAGCCCAGCACTTTATAAGACGGCGCACCTGAAAAACGCCATCTAGAATAGCGGGGTGCAGGTTATAGTCGGTCGCGTTCAGACCGTCAACATGGCCTCGAATCCAGGCGATGGCCTCTGTCTCATTCATACAGACCCTATTGATCCTCATGAACCTAACGTGACATTAGCGATGTAAGAGAGCTATGAGAGTACGACATACTCAGCGCCAAACTGAGCGTAATTCTCGAGTTGCTTGTACAATTCCTCTCCTGTATTTGTTCGATGACAGCGTTTAGTCACTGCATCGACATCAACATATGTTATGCTGTCAGGACTGAGCTTCGGTACGCCATAACCCAATTTGCCGTGAGAGTGAACAGTGTCGAAGGGAGGTACGCTCCGCCGCACCCACTCCATGTCGCCTCCCATGGTCTGAAGCGCCGTTGAGGATTTCACGAACCATTCGGCCCCTTCTTTCGAGACTTCCAACGTGATGGGAGGCACGGATTCGTCGAGGATGCAAACAGCCTCAAACCTGCAGTCCCAGACTTCGGTCGCCCCAGGAAATTCGAGGCCCATCTCGACGTATACAGAAGCTGGAATCAAATTCTGACACGAAAATAAGGTGCTAAACGATTAATAGAAAAGACGGGACCCACAGAACGATCGATGACGTGATGCGACATCCACGGTTCTGGATTATAAGGGCCTACTCTGAGCCGGGTGGAATTGAGTGCCCTGCTAGCAGGAAGCAGCCACCTGTGATAAGATGCAGGCTGTGCCGCAGCATTCGCCAGTGGCCAGATCTTCTTGTTGAACGGATAGTCAATATCTGGTAATGTCTTCGAAGGGTATGCGTTGAGCATGGAGAAATCGATCTGCAAAGGGTTTTTGAGAAAAATCAAATACACTGACGCAGAGGCTGCAGTCTTACCGAGTTCACACCGAACAGGAGCAAACGCCCGATGGTGTCCAAGATTGCATGCACTTCCGTCTTCGCACTCGCTCCAGCTTTGAGACGACGTGAGGAGGGCGGCCGGTACCCAGTTCCCACTGAGTCATGGGCGCCCAGACCTTTCATATACTACAGAGATGGTGAGTGTACAAGAAGCTCTGTTATGGATTACGTCGTACCTGAGACAAAACTGGATGAGGAGACACCTCAACGAACGTCGTCAGATCCCCATAGCGGTCGATGATCTTCGGAATGGCCGTGGAGAACAACACAGGTTGGCGAATATTCTTCCATAGATAATCAACTGTATAGGGCTCAGATACGAACTCGGCAGTCACGGTGGACATGGTGGAGATCACTGGAAAGTGATCGCTGGCATGTTCAGAGAAGATGGCGGCGAGCTCCTTACGATACGCCTCCTCGCAAGGATTGACAAAGGGCGAATGCACGGCTGTGCTTACACGAAGCTTGCGGGCGGTGACGCCGTCAACCCATCTATCGATGTAATTCGTCAACGCGTCCAAAAGTTCCTCGGGCCCCGATACGCCGATATCAGATGGACTGTTGAACGCAGCCAAGTGTAATTGCCCAGCTTTTCCACACTCGGTTCCTGCCAGAGAAAGTGCGGCATCCACATAGTCGCGGACTGCATCGGCGTCACAGCCAGATATGGCGACCATGGATCCTCCAGCGTTGTCGACTATCCCCAAGGCACGGCCACGCGCGACTGCAACCTTGACGGCCATCTAAACACAGGAACACCAGGAACATCATCCAGTGTACTTTAGAATGATATAGATTTGTTTTTTTTTAATTTGAAGAAACACGCACTTCACGAGAGGCAGCACCAGAAGCATATAGAACGGCGGTTTCTCCCAAAGAATGTCCAACAAGGGCCGTAGGTCGAATACCGAGTGCGGTGAGCAAGTCAAACATCGCGATTTGGAAGAATGCGATGGAGACCGAAATAACCTCCGCAGGCCAAATGAGGCAGGTCTCGAGCGGTGACGGCTTGACGCTATCCTGCACGAACAACCCAGTCTTGTCCAAGAATGATTCTCCAACATAAGCTGTGTACACTTCGTCACATGCGAGAACACTCTCGCGGAATACGGGGTATGCAGCCATTAGTTCCCGTCCTTGGCGCCAATGCTGAGGTCCCTGGCCTGAGAAGCAGTACACCAAAGGATTGGGCCGTTTCCCGACAAGAGCGGGTTCCGGGAACGCGGCCGACTCCAGACTATCAGCGACTGCATATGTACGATATAACATCTGGCGAGCACGACGGCCAAGGTGCTCGCAGAGAACAGGGATATCAGCATTGTTATGTCGAGCCTTATACTCCCGTGATAGCGTATTGCATGATTTGGGAGTGAGAGCACCTATCGTCAATGAGTGGAGATATTATCATATAAACATAGACAATTGACATACCCATGGTAAAAAGAAAGGGGCCCTTCATGGCACCGAAACCAGCAGTAGAACGGACAGGGCGCTTTTCATGCTCACGTAGAACAGTGTGTCCGCAGGATCCTGATGATGACGTACATGAAGTCTGAGGTTCAGGAGGAAGGAAACAATAGACAAACCTCCGAAACCGAAACTAGAAATGGATGCAATGAGACCCTGCTCGGGATCCGTTGCCACGAATTCCTCAGTTGCAACAGGGACACGCAAATTATACTTCTCGAATTTGATCTTCTCCGAAGGCGTCTTGAAGTACCCGTTGGGCAAGAGCTCCTTGTGGCTCAGCATCAGCACAACCTGCGAAGGATATTTGAATATGGTCAGCCACTACAGTTGCGAGGCAGACCTTCGTTAACGAGGTCATGTAGGCACTGGCATCGGCAGTCATCAGTAACCGCAGATAGAATCACAGTGGAATGGCTACTGTCGCATACCTAATTTCTCCGTGTCCAACATTACTCTTGACAGACCCAATAACAATTTCCCTTCCTTGTCTACCTTCTGAGAACACTTCACCTGCAAGGTTAGCCTCAAGGGAGTCGCCGACAACGGTTCCGGTCCCGTGCAACTCGACAAAGTCAGCCTGGTGCGGCTGGAGACCAGCATCTTTATATGCGAGACGAATCGCCTGAGCTTGAGCTTCAGGGTTAGGTGTTGTGAGCGAGCCCATGAGAGAACCGCAAGATGTCAACGCAGTCCCGACGAGCGTCGCATGGATCACGTCATTGTCTCTGACGGCGAGGTCATGTCGTTTGATCACCACAGCTCCAGCTACACAGAAACAAGGGATCCCATTAAGTAAACCAAAGGGAACACGCAAACTAAACACACCTGAGTCTGCACGAGCATAACCGTTCGCATCATTATCGAAGGACTTGCATATGCCGTCTGGGCTGAGGACGCCAAGCTGACTGAAAGCGACGGTATCCGCTGGAGATGCAATGAGATTCACTCCGGAAACAACGGCCTGATCGCAATCCCCGTTTCTGATTGCCCGTACCGCAAGATGCATCGCAGTGAGAGTGGACGAACAGGCTGTGTCTACGATGGTCGAAGGCCCGAGCAAATCGAAGACATAGTTGATCCGATTAGCGGTTATAGAAGAAGACGTTCCAGTCATATAATATGCTTTGCGGGCGCAATGAATCCGCGTGAGCAAATCATGCATAGAAAGCACCTGAGATGCCGTACCCCCTGCTTGAGTGACATCTACATCAAACGGACTCACTCCACCGGCTGCAAGTGTGGTGTAAAGCAATGCAATGACAAAACTCGAGAGATCGAAACCTACGACAGCCGACAAAAACCCCGGTGTTCGTGGCCCGATAGTCTATTCCACTGCGTTGTAGGGCGTTGAATGCTTGATGAAGACTGAAACACAGAGAAAGTCTTAGATTGAACTTGCAAGCATTTCGAGTCTCTTGTAACGTACACGACGAATTGGGTGGACATTGCCTGTCCACCTTCCGTTGGAGTGATGCCGAACTCTTGGACGTCTGCAAACTCAAAATCGGGTATGAAGCCGCCTTTGGTCTGATGATGGGTACAGATAAGATCAATAAAGATGAAGCATATTAGAAAGCTTACGGTGCACGATTTACCAGGCACAGTGCCATGGAAAGCCTCCGCATTCCAGCGATGCGGTGGCACAGTGATAATGCCGGAACCGCGACGCTTGAGAAACTCATGAAATGTGTCGGTGTCGAGCCCACTCGTTTCCCCGCCAGGAGCACATAGGGACAAGCCTAACCTCCATGCTATGAGAAAGAGTCAAGCTGGTAATTAGCATGGAACTAGCCTACGATAGCCACTGCAAGGGGGTCGGGGTTGCTATAGCTGGGCGCCGATCTTGATGCCATGTGAGTGTAGGACCAGATTAGGATATGTGGTCAGACGCTAGTGTCGATTCTGAACGAATTCCAGCTCAAGGGAACTCACACACAAGTGGCGATTGCAATAGACGTCGTTTTATACGTGGCACGTACATTTGTTTTTCGCACGAAGACTACTTCAGATGAGCCTCATTCTGTGGAGCTATATTCAGAAACTACCTTCATACCCTAAGTCGTCTATGCAGATCTTCGCCATTCCGGTCCAGAATGACCTTGGGCATCACAGACATTTCACGCAAGTGGAAAATCACGATCGGACTAAGTAGTCGCTTCCCAAGGGCTGCGGACGCTCTCGATCGCCGCGATCGAGGGAGAAAGATAACACCGCAGGCAGTCCCCACGGCAAATGCTCGGCAAATGTGGCGTGAGAGTGTGACCTATATTTTGAGGTCGAGGACGGCGATCTTTCTGTTAGTGCGCTTTCATCACGGGTGTAATACATCCTCCTCCCCATCTGCCTATGGGAGTTTAAGGGAGCTCGTGCAAGAGGCAACACATCGGCCAAGTCGGATGGACCCGCATCTGGGAAGGAGCCTGGGTGTGTCATTTACATTGCTTCTCAGTGTGGGAGTGTGGTCGACGCCACAAGATTAAGCTCTCAGTTAGCTTAATGTGATCCCTCCAAAGCTTTATAAGACGGATGGAATGCTTGTTAAAGAAAATCGAACAACATGCGTGAACTCTATTACTAACTCTCCGGGTTGGGGAGTCTCTTTACTGAGCGTGAATAATCTAGGATTCTCTTCGGTTCAAGTAAGACCGCACATTCAACATCGCCGCGTCTTGCTGAGGATTGTACATCAGGTTTGGTTTCTCTTTTTCCCCTTTGGGTTACGAATGCAAGACCATACGTTCCTATTTGTTTTGAACAATTCCATTCCCTTCTCGGATCGTATGAAGGTGACCATTATGTGTAATCGGCCACGGGTATTGAAATCAGCCTCGCCATGAATGTACTTGATTTACCCTTCCCAAGCGTCCTTTCTCGCGAAATATGTCCACCCATTGTACTTTTGAGAAGCGGCGTCCCACACCAGTATCGTCGTTATCTGAGAGGGCGGGTGTGAGGCACAGAGAACGAGCGAACGCTAGCGCTGACCCACATTGTGGTCTCCGTCGATATTCTTTTTGAAGCAGAGATGCATGCTTTATCCGGAGATCTGTATTGTGCGGCGGGAACTCTCAGGACCCATGACATGAGAGTTGCGAAGTATGAGTCTCGTGGGCTATCCATCGCTTCATTCATGAGGTGACTCGCAATATTTGTCCGAATAACCGATTGCTGTTTTGTGTCGTATATAAGGAGCGTTGGGCACAGTCGTAAAGTCATCCGCAGAACCATTGGTTTATAGTGTGAGTGGGTTTCTTTGCGGCTTCAATTCGATATAGCTTGGCTGAGGATTGATTTTGCAGCGACAAGCTACTTCAGTTTTGTTATCATGGCGCAGATTACACCCGGCTCGGCCAAGGGCACGGTCGAATTCAAGGGGGACGACACAATCACCTCGACCTTCACCATTGACGATGGAACGACCTTCACCTACAATGGGTCAATCACCCTTCCTCCTATCTATGCAATCCTACCGTCCGTGTGCGATGCGGTACTCCACTACAAAACCGCAGGTGCCCCCGGTTCGTACACCTGGACCTCAAAGGAAGGAGTCAATAACAGCATCGAGGTGACTGTAAACGCTAATGACGGGAACACCATCGTGATCAACATGCCGAGGAGCTCTTTTGTGAAGCGATCCGATCCCAAAGTCACCTTCTTTAATGCCCACGATGCTCCGAGCGGCTCCTTCGCTCTAGTCTAAGGAATGTTCTGGTGCTGTCATAGGCTGGTTTGATGCTAATATCCACCTTCATGCAGGCAGCATCCGTCGTAGAATGTGGTGGAGGGCAGAGAAAGGGAGGTCAGGAATGCACTGGGCGAGAGAAATTGGAGCATCTTGAATCCGAGACACGCGCGTTGGAGTCTGTATAGTACAAGTTGTCATGAGCGGCAGGAACCATGCCTATGAAGTTGCGCTGATAAGCCATTGTTTGAAACTGATCGCGCTTAAGAAGTCCGACTCGTACCGGATTCAGGAGTATCTGAACAAACCACTGTTAAGAATGATGTTAGCAGTGCGGTGCAGGGAAATCACATCTACTGTAGAAAGCTTCAAACGCGTCGCAGCGAAGACTAGGAGAGGGCGTGATCGTATCAGGAGGACTGGGCATAAGAACCTTTTGCAGCTCATAGTCCAAGATTTTCAGCCCTACGCATCCGATTACTTGTATGTCGTCAGGTAGCTCAAAGGTATCTGGCCAGCAGAAAGTCATATCAAGCTATGACCATCTTCAAGTACTTTTCAGGCCGCCTGAGGTCGTTCAAAATGTTTGAGCTAGTGAAATATGTGCGTATTATAGGTTTAGCAGGAGAGCGAGATGAGCAGCGACTTACCGTTCTATGCTTACATTCTGTCGGCCGTGGCCCGCGCGCCTTGCTACGTTATGCGTCGCGGATCGATTGCCTCCCTCTCGATGCCAACATAGCCAGCTCAGCTCTAAACTTCCGATCTCTTCAAATAGGCACGATCGCTTTCTTACAGCCTAAAAAGGTTCGGTGAATCTCCCGTGCTCCGTTCTTACGGTAGGAGTACTGCGCTTGAGCGATGCTGGGTGTGATAGAACGTGTGGGCTAGTGCAGAGACTACATGAGTCACGCGAATCCTGCTTGCTGCGTGACCGGATGTATACGAGACCACGTTGGCGAAATTGAGAGATGGAGCCGTGATCAAGCAGCACTTTGCCTAAAGAGCCGATAAGCATGGGCGTTCCGAAACGCATCATGGACGACTTGGAGGAGGGCGCTCGCAAGGCATTCATAGTGCTCATCCAGTGATGGCTATTGTTCATGGTCGTGGCAGTCCGCCTTTGTCCCGCAATCGGTACAACAGGAGCCTTGTCAGAGGTCATACTTTTGGTAATCACGGCTAACCTTGCACATCTGTGTAAGTACCAAGGGTTAGCGGATCCTCGATCATCTGCCAGCACCAACATCCTCCATCCCAGTCTGTAACATCTGTCTGACGAAATAAATGAACGAGCGTACTCGCAAGTACTCGCCGCCTCAACTGTCTGATGAGACTGATCGAGGTTGTGGCAGCAATTCGGTTCGAGGCGCCAACGCTCCCACCCTGATCTATGTCCGTTGTCCTTGCCGGATTCCCTGCTACAGAAAAGACACAGTCAGCATCGGAGTATTCTTTCCTGCTACACCCAGCGTCGCAATACAAAGTCTCTTTCCCCTCTGCCAAAAATCCTCTAGCTCGAGAAGCCCATATGAGGTAGTTCTCGATCGCTCACCACAGCTGCCATTACTGCCTGGAAAGCCAACGTCCCACCGAGAGCTCCAGCACTGCTCAGGCCAAGACAGAGATATTCCATATCCCCGTCAGCTACTTCATTAGAAGGCCGTCTGCGAGTTGTATCAACCCATTCGCGAAAGACTCCCAAGCACGATCTTACCACAGTCAGATACGCTTCTGTCTTCGTTGCCACCCCCTATACACCTTCTTCTGTCGCACATACCTCTACTCCTGCATCACAAACTCCCTTAAAGCGAGCTCGACGCGGTCTCACGCACTTCCCCTCGCTCCCCACACTGAAGCCTACCCGTTCCTGCTCGAACTCCACCACTATGCCCACTCCTGTTCTCCTCGTGAAAAGATCTGTCCCGAATGTGCCTGCCAATTCGCGCTCCCAGTCGAGGGACACTGTGAGCAAGAGCAAGAAATCACAGTATGCCAAATACTGCCCGCCGACATTCGCCACGGAGCTTGCGCTTGCGCAGCTCGCCGATGGAGGCAAGATGGACAACCACCGTGACATTAGATGCGAAGCCCAGGCGCGCCCCGGTGGCGCACAGATGGTGAACGGTGTCCTCATCTGTGTCGGCGATGTCTGGCGAGATGGACAAGGGAACGTCTGGCGCGACCAGGACAAGGAGTGGGAGTATGCACATCTGTTGGGGATGGTGATGGAGGCTGGGTCCGCTTCATTTTTGCTTCCCCTAGATGCCGGTGGCTTTGCGGAGCGTCGCGCCACAGACGTGTCACTCCCTGTTTCCATACATCCGCGCGTTATAGTGACCAGGCCGCTTGTTCAGAACCAGTCAGAACCACGCCTTGGCCTTCGCAGATCACCAGAGCTTTTGCCACCGTCGAAGGAGGGGCCAATACTGTCGTTTATGGGAACCAGTACCACTAGTATGGCCCCTACAACAAACTCCTCTATACTCTATTCCCTACGGACAGTGATTTCATCGTCTCGCCTAAGTACTTACTGGGCAACAATGAGGGCAGTGCAGACATCATCGTTTCGTTCGAAATCACCCTTCGTCAGCATCCGGTGCTCATTGTACAGGTCAAGCCTCCCCAACACTTGTTGCTCAATTCGACGCGGGAGGCAGCCGACAGGCAGATTCGCCTCCGTTTGATCGATTTTTCAGGTGTGTGGCGGCATTGCAGATTGCGCTCTCATGGCCTTACGGCCGATATCCTACCTTCAGGGCGTGCGCTCCTTCCTGTCCTCTATGGTATCAGCGCGATAGGGACCAAGCTCTGCTTCTTCGAGTTCGAAAAGGCGTCGAGGCGCATGATTCCCCGACGCATTTCCGGCGATCCCGAGTTCACAATTGACGTTGCGCCACAGAAGCGGTGGGACAGTGATGTCCTTGAAGCTGACGGAGAGCAGCGGCGGCGAGCATTGGCGGCGAAGATCACGGAGGCATGCGAACGCCTTCAAGCTTGACGATGTTTGTACAAAATTCAAAGCTACGTAGTACATGGTTGTATCTATTTTCTCCCACGGCAGATTGAAACGTTGTTGTGTCTAAGAATAGGACTACGCGCAAAATGCTGCATGTACGAAACGATACTGTATGGCTATAGGCTAAACAATGAGTTTTGCACCGATGTCGGAATATTTCGAGACCACATGCACGTACGCACTACTTGAAGCATTCGGCCTTCTGGTGAAAGCCGCTCAGGACTCTTGATGGAAGACATCGAGGACTCGCTACATTGCTTAGCAGGCCATCAGAATGAGCAGACTGGAGATAGCGAAGAACTTGCCATTAGGCCCTCGACAACGAAGATGCCACTTAAGCAGACTCCTTCTCTGAGGTCAGTGGGGCGCCGAGTCACAAGAGTCAAAACGTGACCAAACGCGTCGGCGCGTCGGTGGCGTTGATACTGTGTCCCATATAACAGCCATGCACATCAGCATGCACTTGCTCACGTCCTCAGCCAACATGTTTAGCTTCATACCGACCCTCCACGCTCTCGTCCCTCGAACATGATGTCAGAGCCGTCGCAGCCCTCGACGTCAGGCAGCAGCCCGATGTACATCACCTTCCACACCCGACCGCATTCCTATCTCCGTCGATGAGTATGGGCACGCTTAGCGACTTCAGCGAAAATCCCGGCAGCATATCTGACTCGCTCGTAGACCTTCCTGTCGACGTCGACGCGCTATCATGTCGGCGAACCTGGGCCTAGTTCGCAGGCGCAAGGAGGTAATGTAGGAATCGTGCTTGCACATAATTGAGCGACTCAAATAATCGCGCACTGTGTTTGTCCAGCTGTAACGTATGATCTGTTCTTCTCAGAAAAATGTGCAGTCACGAATGGGCCAAGACTTAAGAAGGCCAAGGAGATGAAAAGTGAGCACTGCGATGCGAAGTCCGATGGACAAGTGAAGGACTTGGCCATGCACTTTCAGTGCACCGCTGGTCGAACCGCTTGCAGACGAAGAATTCGCCCCGTTGGCAGAGGAGGTCCCACTGCTCGTATCAGTGGTAGTCAAAAGAGCAGCCGCAGTTGTGCTCGCGCCGTAGACCGAAGACGTATCGGACGGGGAAGCCCGGAAATCGCCGACGCGGGCCCGGTGACGACAGTAGAGAAAGTGATCTGCACCATCTCGGTGAGACCAAGCCTAAATGAAGACGCAGAGTCTATGGCGGACGACGTTGGCAACACGGTGACGGTCGAGCATGTAGACAAAATAGCTAATGTGATGCGAGGCCCGCAGATGTGGAGCCTGAGATGTGGGTGGAGGGTACAAAATAAGATTTGAAAATGGCTGAGTCTGAATACTGTGGCTGAAATGTGGCTGAGGTGGCGGGATGAAGCACGATGTACCACCCATAGGAATGAGCACCCTCCCAAACTCCCGAAAGCGAGATGGGGAGGAGCCTGATCCTGCCGCAGAAAATGGTGAACAAATATCGCATAATGGTCCATACTGAGGAAAAAGAAAGCCTGTATCCAGCAATCTGCACAGTGAGATATAAAATAATTTAAGAGTATATATATATTTCTCCAACAAATAGTAAGTGTTATTTAAATGGCAATGACGTAAGTAGCGTGAGATACTCCGAGTACATTCCTCTGAGGCTCATGCTCATGCGAGCGTACTGCATTCTCCCTCTCTTCATCGACCAGGGCAAACGGAATGCCCTCAATATCGCTCACAGGGCTTCCGCCTGACCTCCTGCTGCAGATTCTGCAGGAATTGACCGTCGAGAACATCCTCATCCTTCGCTCGGTAAGCCGTGCACGTCATACATGAAGGGTTGATGTCTAAGCGCGGAGCACTTTGATTTCGACAGACATGTAGTATCCTCTCAGATGTGACCCGTGAGCGCAGCGTGTGGCATTCTGCGCTGTTACGTCTTGTCATACAACCCGGGCTTCCTGTGCCGAGTCTTCCGAAGGGATGGGCACTTGCCTCCTTATCAGCAAGCCAGCTTGAGACGTTGACCATCCGGGCATTGCGGTTGCGCCGGAACTGGACATCCTCCAGACCGACATGTACAATGTCTGTTGAGTTGAACCCTCCCGGACTACCGCCGTCCGCTCAAGCGCGGAATGTCGCCGTTCATCATCTGCCAGGGAGGGGAAACCGTTGGCTTCTCACTGTGACGTTCTACGATCAACCGGCTGCACCTCGCAAATACGTCATCCATTGCTGGGATATCTCAAGAGAGACGCATAGATGCGCTGCCACCCTGCGGTGCATGAATATGATGGGTCTTGTTGTCAACTCTGACCCAAACTACTCCGGCGTACTGGCTCTCACCCGCCGCGGCCCGTCAGACATGTTCGTATCCTCCTTCCAATTCATGACTAACTGCCTCATCTATGCGACTTGGCATGAATGATGACATTTTCGCTCGCAGAGTGACCACGTCTGTGTTCTCGCTCAACTTCATAGAAACACAAGACAAGGAAATGACCTTTACTCCAATCCAAGAATTTGCTAGTTACCGACGGGCTATCGCGCTGGAGGGCTCTATCTTTGTTGTGACCGACTCCGACAATATCATCCGCCTCATCGACATTGACACAGGAGACCTGCTGTGCACACTGCAGGTGCCGTTAGAGCACGACGATCCAACCCTGCGTAACGAGGTGCGACTGGATAAGTCACGTTATGCCTAGTCTAAGCTGATAATGTTTGTGAGGTAGGAACACAGGTGTCTGGCCGTATCCTTGCAGGGCGGATACGCACTCGCCTTCCGTAGACAATGGATTCACCTATACAGACTCCCCAATAGAACAGCGCCTGCTCCTTCGACGCTCGAGCCCAGCATCCCACGCGCATGCGACCCGATCGCAAGCCATAAATGGAATTGGCGAATCGACAGTCTCGTCATCTGTCCCCGCCGATCCCATCTACCCCAAGCTCCCTTCAGCGAACACACACAAGAAACCTCTTTCCCGCCAATTGACATCCTCGTACGGCTCGACACTTGGTTTCCCTGGCCCGTCAACATTCTGCAACACTACGTCCTTCATTCCAACTCAGCCAATGGATACCTCTCACCATCTCACCTGCCTTACCTTTTCTCAAGTTCGCCCAGCGATGGTCCGGTCATAATCCGCTCCTTTCCGTCGCCCATCCGGCTGTTCACTCCGTCGGACATGGTCCTCGGCCCGTACGGCACTGCGCTCTGGCTGGACGCACAGAGCGCGGACAGCGGGCCGGCGCAGGTAGGCGATCAGGGGCAGCGCATTGCGGGGCAGATGCTCAACAATCCTGATGACACCACTTCCTCTGCGATGGCATCAGCGGCACGTACGCAAGATGATGTACTCAGCTCTGGGCATGTTAAACACCAAGCTGATGAGGATGGAGAGAACGCCGCGGTGGAGGCGCCGCGGAGCTCTACGTCCGCACAGTGCATGACGTTCCAGATCCAGGAGGAGCACGATGGGTGGAATAGAATTGCATTGAACGAGGAGGAGGGCCGGATCGCCGTTGGGACGATTGATGGGAGGGTTTTCTTGTTTGAGTATCTTCCGCCTGACACGGCATCGCTGGCATAGAACTCAAGTAATTGCAGAGGAGAGGTTAGGCGGCTCGTTCGCTTGTGCACTGGTATAATTTCTGGATCTGAATCTGAGAGGCACAATGATATCACGCACGGATTGGCGAGACAACTCTTCACGTATAGCATAGAACAATCACAGTGAGGACTTTCAGATCTTCCCAGACGCTCACTTCACTGATGAAGCTGAAGCATCACTAAATCATGTTGCTACTCATCTGGCGACAACATCTCTCTCGAACGGGCTAATCCGACTTTGAATGCAACAGAAAGACTAGAGTGCGCTAGAAACCTATTCATACACCAGATATATCTCCTTACTGTCAACCGCAGCCGCTCCTGCCACCTCACCGATGCATCTCTGAGTGCCGTCATGCACCGCGCCGACACCAACGGGAGTCCGGGATCCAGGTCGGAACGCCCATCTGATTTCCACTCTACGGCCTGATCGGCCGCCCTACTTTTATGTAAAGCCGCCGGGAGACATGGCCAGCCAATTCGACCAGGAACTAGAAGGTCTCGGATGGCCGGCTTGAAGGACAACTTGGCAGATGACGGGGGAACAGACTCGCATATTAATGCTGCTGTGAACCCAGCTACCAACAGGTCTTGACGTGGATAAGAACTTCCTTCCACCGCCATCTGCAGTCAGCGACGACTTTGCACATAATGCGAGCCTCCTATGCGCTTCTTCTCCCTCTGTTTTCCTTCGGAGTCGCCCATACCGCATCCATTAAGCGGCAGGACCAAAGCCCCGAGACCGGTACAATAGTCAACCCCGCCGTCGGCACCGCGATCGACCCCGGTGCGAGCTTCGCCTTCAACTACAGCACGAACAACTGGTGCCACCAGGGCTACAGCCTCTTCACCGTGTGGCTCACTCCAGGCCCCGACGCGCCGACGTACGCGGATGTCACTTCCACGAATGGGAACGCAGGGGACAGTGTCGGGATACTGGAGGAAGGCACGTACCTGTACGACTTTGGCGAGTTCGTGGTGAACAATTTTCGTGAGTCGTGCGCCTCGCAGACCTACCTGAGGGAGGTTGGCTGATTTGGCGATCGAAGCGGGTGAACTTCCGCCCACGAGCACTCCGCCTCCTGCTGCGCTCACTATGCCCAACCTGCTCGAGCTGAACGGCACTTCGTACAGCAACGCAACGTTCTATATCGCTGTCGTCGACACGTTCCAGGATTGTCCTGTAAGTGGCCTCGCGTGTCAAGCAACAAATGTCTGACCTTCCTTTGAAAGCCTTCGGTTCCGATTGAGCTCGGGTTGACCTCACATTCGATCGTGTACAACGCCACTACCAGCACTTGAGGAGCGATGCTGACATTTCTGTCGGAATTGCTTGTTAATAAGGATAAAGCCAGGACAGGATGACACTATGACACTAGCACGGATGAATTGTGTGACTCACTACTTTTTGTATCACTCGCCAGCAGGAATAAAACACATCATGATGCGATGAAAATCTTCACAATGATAATGTCAGAATCTACGATTCTCCATCCGCAGGCACCTCGCCATCATAGCACAATCCCAAGTCCGAAGGATTACCTTGCGACTGCAAGGTTTCTCCCAGGTCAGAATGTAAGGCGATTTTTTACACAGGATTTTGTACTTGTTTGGCTCTATTTGATAATGTTTCTCTCCATCAGCCCTAACGCCACCTCCCCCTCCCATGAACCTTCCACTCAATCCTAATGCCACCACACCTCCCTTCCCCAACGCACTCGTTTTACGATGCACGCCAACGCCATCACCCCTCCCCCCCCAACACACACACACATACACGCACACATTTTACTCGACTGTAACGCCACCATACCCTCCCCTCTTCCCTCCCCCTTGAGTATTCTCATATCACACCAAGCTATCGTTAAATGTTCATGAGCTATGTGATGTAAGATACATTTTGATCTATGCATCTGTTGTATTTCTGTCCCCATGAACTTCCGTCCACCACTCCGTCGTTTCTCGGTCCAGTTTAGCCAGTCTTTCATCTTCCATCAGCAATTGTTCATCATGAGGTTCGTGGAACATCTCTGCATTGAAGTCCCTGAGGATTCGAATGGTATCCCTGCCATGACTACGTGACAGTGCGACATATAGGTTGAAGAGGCTCAGTTTTCCGGTCGGAGGCTTTGCCATGTCAATCAACACACACAAGATTGTCTGTCCTTGCGAGCGATAATCCGTGAAAGCGTACGCAGCCGTTATCGGAAATTGTCTTCGGTGAATCGTGACCCTGACTGTTTGGTTCTCAGGTCCTACATCTCCAACGTTAAGAGACCATGTATGCTCTGAACGTTCAATCGGTATTTCGCGTTCGTCCAGTCCATGCAGCCTCGATATTTTCGTCCTATCGAGCTTGACAATTATGTATGCCGGTAGGTGTTGTAACCTCACTACACGTTCGTCTCCGTGTTCTGGCTCTTCTGGATGTAGGACGATTCTTCTGATCTCTCCTCGTGCTCCATTTGCGATGTCCAGGTCTGTGGCGATATTCAAAGTTACCATGACTTTCATCCCAACCGCCAGTTTGATCTCGCGAGGAAGTCGTCGTTTCTGATGTCGTGCTGGTCGGTGTTCAGATCTGGCAAGTGCTATCTTCTCGTGCACATTCAGTGGTCGTCCTTCTACATTGTCTTCTGCCGTACAGATATACATCTTTTGTCCGCTCTGTTTACAGTGCCGGTCGAGCGCAGCCTCATTCCAGGCTTCTCGTACACCATGCCGTGGGGTGACCAATATTGCTGAGTTCCATGGAGGTGAGGTGAAGCTTATCTGTGGCCCATTCGGATTATCAATTACGAGTTCCTTTAGCATTCGCACGTCAGCTTCTCGCACGTTGCCCATCCGTAAGTGCTGCAAAAAATCAAGCCATCGTTCAGCATGGACATCCGTCGAATTAAATATCATCGATCAGCCGGTCAGCCTCCTGGCTTCACCTCTCAAACGCCGTGCTCAAGACGGTCCGGCCCACAGTCCAACTAAGAGACGCTTTATTCGCAAATGGTACGTCACGTCCGACCACGCTCAACCTAGCTAACATTCATGAACGCACCAGAATGCCCCCTACGCATGGTCAGCTCCCTACGACCGCGCTCCTCGCGACGTCTGACTTCCATGCTATAGTACGCTTTGACACAATACTTTTACGGAGTCACTCTTCTGTGTAGCATGTATAATACTGCTGGGCCTATATCATTTTGACTCTCCACCTCTCACTTCCACATCGGAATACCTTACAAAATAAAAACGTTGCCGCCTAATGCCCCTTTCTGCCACTCATAAAACCTGTACCGCCACTCCACTTCACAAGCGCCTGCCTTTCCAGTCGCAAGGTGTGGTGCCGGCGACAGCCGGCGCTTCTCGAGTTACAATGTTATTACTATATAAAACAGACATGCATATAAATCATTCATCATCCCCAATCACATGAAGCGGCTCCGCATCAGCATCCGCACTGGGCACAGGAGCATACCACTTTGACGCTGCCGCAAGCTCGATGCCGTTCTCCGCTTCTTGCGTTGCACCATCAGCGTTGCGCCCACTCATGGCGTAGAGGTGAATGAGAGAGACGATCAACAAATATAGAATGAAGGACATGCTGCGGAAACAAATGGGATTAAATGATCGTGTGAAAACGAGAACGAGATGGGCCGGCGCACCTGAACATGATGAGGACATAGGTGACATGGTCCATGCCTTCGTCGCTGACGAACTCTATTTCTTCATCCGTTGCGGACATGAACAGTATTCTGAGCACGTTCTTTGGTTCAATTCGAAATGCAGAGAATAAAAGATAGGACATACCCGGCCGCCACCAATAGCTAATGCAACGAAACAAATAAGTCAACATCCAAGGACGCCCGCACATGAGGCTGCATCATGCTCAAAGTGAACACTCACGAAAGACGGCAAATGCCTGAACGCACGTCCAGCCGACGCCAGGGTGACTCCTTCCTCCCTTTCATTGTCCGCGAGCGTATGGTCGCTGTGGCTGTCACCATCAGCCGTATCGAGCGGGTAGAACTTCGGTACGATAAAGCAGACTTCGATGATTCGAGCAACACCTGCCAGCATCAGGGTGTAGCCAAAGATGGAGTGCACCTGTAAAGAATTGCGTGAGGTTCTATTACAACTGTGTGAAGTGAGTGAAATTGACGACTGACTTTCGTGGATATCATCAACGCTTGAGCGTGTTCGGACATTGCCCATCCGGTGAGGATGACTCTGAACAGAAGTGTCAGCGCGATCTCTCATCCTAGCATCTTGCCGATTTACATTAGTGATGGTAACACCGATCGCTATGAAAGCAAATCGATTGACCATGATCAGTCCGGGGCCAAGTAGGTCATTATCATCATGCTCACCTGGTTGTTCCGAGACAGAAAGATGCCTAGCCCCCCTCCTGTCCACCCTGACAATATTTATAAATGCTACGTTCCATACAGCTCAGCGTACGACACGTACAGAGTACCCCTAGGATGCTGGAATCCACGCCTTCAGTCTCAAATCTAGCCCCCAGTCAATATAGCACTGACGTATGCTGCATGTCCTTGACGGACCAGACTGACCCTCGGTGCTCGGTAAACGTATTGACTGAAGATGTGTGAGTTCAAAAGCCACTACGTTCATGAAATTGAAGAATAACGTACCAATACCCTACGAAACGTACGTCAGTGCAATACCAGCTTCCACGGCTTGAGACGCACCCAAAGCATGATGACCCACGAGTCCCACCACTCCGGACTCCGCCCACTCCGCCTTACCCAATTCTCACCCACAAGGAGCAGTATCGCCATAATAGTGCCATATGCAATGAACCCGCTCCCCTACAAATCCCATAAGATTCGCACTGAGTCGTTCTGGACGAAACGTACCATGATGTAGTGCGCAAGACATTGCCCCAGATGGTCACCCCGACAGTATCCCCTGACAGTAATTGCGCCGAAGAGCATTTGTGTCCAGCCAATAATCGGATAGGCCTTGCCCACGACACCGTGTGCACGCACTGCCCATGGGCGTAAGGACAGTTCATGGATGTGCAGCTTGAGATAGATCCCTAGGATGAGCTGGAGTGCGATAGGAGCGAGCATGATGTTCGCCATGATGCCGTGAACCCCGGCGAGGAAAGCACGGCCGCCGTGTGCATGCCCGAGGATGTAGCCGGCGATGGTCAACGCAAAGCCTGCGCTCTGCACAACATAAGTAACACAGTTCCCAACATTCGATTGACGCAAAGCAGCATCGAGGGGTCTGACGAACCTGCAAAGGGACATGCCACCGACTTCTTGAGATTCCAAGCACCATACCGGTCGGGAACAGGACACCCCAGACCGCAGCCTGAAGGAAGATGTGCATGTACAGAATAGAATCAATAGGCGCATGGGCCTGCTCCTCTGTGAGTTCGTCATGGTGTGAATGAGCAGCGGCCGGAGACACGAGGGCAAGGAGCACCGGCAAGGCAGCCGCAGCTAGACGTTGGTGCCGCATAGTGAACGTCCGAGACATATAGATTCAAGAGCAAGAAAGAGACGAGCTCTTCTCAACTCTCTGAGATCAGCCGTCTAGAATTTTCAATCTTTTTTAAGCAGTAAGAGAGTCGACTGGTGAAGCCGGTGAAGATCGAATGAACGAAGATGAGGAAGGCCGAGTCGGATGCACCGCAGCCTGAAAGCTCCGCATTAATATGTGACAGTCACGAAGTCACGAACCCGCTCGTCACAGCGATCCCGAGCATTCCACTGGAGGCCACAAGGTTTAAACAAACAGAAGCTTCAGCACCATAGATTTGCTCAAAGGACCAGGGAGAGGACCGGCAAAGACGATTGCGCTCCTGAGACGGGTTGACTTTTCGTGGAAGATGGAATGCACGAGATGTCACAACTCACGTGTACGTGACACCGCGCGTCCGAGCCGACGTCAAAGCCGGAATCAAATCAGCAGCTTGCAGCTGCCAGGATAAGAATCCTCCAGCACAGGCCTGACTGCTCGCGCCCTTGCAAGAAGCGACAAGGTTTACCGTGATATGATGCGCCTGTCTGGATCCTCACTGCCGTCTATCCGTTCCTGTCTGAGAACTTGTCGACTTCGAGCAGGCACACAGGCCGTTCATGGACAGAGATTCAAGTCATCTATTCGCGTCAGTCTCGATCATTCTCTCACGTACACCTTCCCGCCTTCCTTCTTCACAAATACTGACGGCACACACTACCCCTCCAGTAGTCTCTACAAGATGCCTTCCGTGACCCGTCCTCGCCATTCCACCTACCGCCCGGCACGCAAGGCCCCGCCTCCCCAGATCCCCCCGCCGAGTTCCTGCACACCGAAGCCCAGGAGACGCGGGCGGAGCACGCCCGCACAAAGATGCTAGAGCTGGGCTACGACCCGAGCAGCTTCTGGGAGCAGCGGATC